CAATAGAGAAATATTTTGTCACCAGGTGACTCTCCTATTCCATCTGTTTCTTCGGGATCATCTTCACCTCTTTCAGCCACTTCTGCCCCACCAACATTGGGACAACCTAAAGGAGGCAGTGCCAGTCAGGATCGAAAGATACCTCCTCCCATTGGAACAGAGAGACTAGCCCGGATTCGGCAAGGAGGGTCTGTCACACAAGCCCCTGTGGGGACCAGTTTTGTTGCTCCTGTTGGACACAGTGGAATCTGGTCATTTGGTGTCAACGCTATGTCAGGTACAGTTGCCTTGCCTTCCATTTTGTCTGGAGGAATATCTTAAGTAAGTTGTATGATTTTGCCATTAAAACAGAGTTCCTTAAAAATAAAACAAGGCAGGGGTGGAGGGAGGACAAAACAAAACTTAGTTCCTATGCTTGTCAGTGAAGAGCGTTCATACCTTTGAAGAATTGAATCCAGTCTCAGAATGTGGAATATTAATTGTGGGACATAATAATATATGTAAAAACTATAATAATAGTATATAATAAAATAGAGTTGATTAGAAGTAAAAGGTGCAAAGTATATTCTTTTTCCTCAAGCCTTCCAGTGTACAAAAGGGGACAAATCCTTTTAGAAACCATTTAATCTTTTGAATGACAAGGTAGAATGTTTGGGGTATTCAGATTACTTCATTCAGTTTTCTAGGAACTTGCTTTTTAGTTTGCAGAGATTGTCATGATTGTGCTCTGAGTTCTTCAGTGGAATGATCTTGATAAAAATGAATGTGAAAAAAGATAAAATGGTAATGTTGTTATTTTATCCAAAAAAATATCAAACCCTGTTCTCAATTCTTCTTTCCAGAAGGTTTATCGGGTTGGTCACAGTCTGTAATAGGGAACCATCCAATGCATCAACAGTTATCAGACCCAAGCACATTCTCCCAGCATCAACCAATGGAGAGAGATGATTCTGGAATGGTAGCCCCCTCTAACATTTTCCATCAGCCTATGGCAAGCAGTTTTGTGGATTTTTCTAAAGTGAGTTGACAAACATCATTGTAACTTGTCCAACACTTTCCCAATCAATGTAGTCACACTGGTGACTAAGGAACAGTTTATATTGAATAATTATATTGAATAGTTTATATATCAATAATTTTCCCTTTTGGTGTAACTAGTTTGTTTCCACAACTTTGCCAGATCTTTTGTCCAATTTCAAAAGTGGTGCTATGTTGTACACAAAACTTTGTCCTCAAACTATCCTGAAGATGCCCCAATCCTCCAAAAGAACCAGAGATTTGGGTTTTGCTGCTTTGTGTTTTGTTGCAAGAGATTTGAAGGAGGCTTCTGCCCTTCTACAAAGCTGACTATGAACTCTCCAATGCCCTCTTCTTTGCTCTGAGAGCTTGGCTGGTGTAAAGTTAGATTATGGCCCTAAGCAGTTATACAGAATTCCCCTTTTCTTCTTAGCACAAGCTTATTAGTGAAACTGAAATTAGGAAAGTTGAGAAATGATATGTGTTCATCAAATTTGGGAAATTTTCTGATAATTTGATACTGAATTTCGTTGTGTTTTCCTCTTCTCATTGAAGAGAATGTTCCCTGATGCAGATAGCCACTTTTGATTTCTCAACACATTACAGTGTTGTACTTACAGGATCCTCTGGATTTCTTTGAATGAAGGAAAATTAGAGAGATTTAAGCTGGTATTATGGAATCATCGTTTATAATTACTTCATGATTAAACCTTTCTGCTGTTTTAGGGTCTACCAATTTCCATGTATGGAGGCACCATAATACCCTCTCATCCTCAGCTTGCTGATGTTCCAGGAGGCCCTCTGTTTAATGGACTTCACAACCCAGATCCTGCTTGGAACCCTATGATAAAAGTTATTCAAAATTCAACAGAATGCACTGATGCCCAGCAGGTAAAATGGACTTAATGGTTTTTGTTTTTCAGATTTATTGTGTCATTCTTTTAATTCTTTGGGTAGTACGAGTTCTGAATATTAAGTCATGACATCTGACCACTTGATCTGAATTAAGTTTTTCAATATCATGATACTACTAAACATTTTATTTCATTGTATATATATTCTTCCTAGGCAGAAACAGTGAATTGCCATTGCATTTATATATTCATTTTGTAAATGTTAAAGATTCCTAATTAGAAATTCCAATTTTTCCTCCCCCTTTTCAGATTTGGCCTGGCACGTGGGCACCTCATATTGGAAACATGCATCTCAAATATGTCAACTAAGTTAGAAGGTCTTACTCTTTAGCCTTGTTTGAGAAACCTATGACCTTGGAAGAACCCTGGGGATTTTTTTTTTTTTAATGTGCCTAACTAAGAAATTTTCTCTGAGGCTTTAGCAATGGAAATTTGATTGACCATTGTCTAAGAACAATGTGATTTCCTATCCATCTGATTATGTTCTCTGGTTAGTTTAGCCATTTTGAACTTAGTGCTTTTGGCTAAACATACTGAATGCTACTTGTATGCAGAAGAGAATTAGATGATTACATGTTTCAACCTTTTAGGGTGGTAAATACATGTACAATTGTTTACATACTTAAAAGGAAAAAGTTGAGTAAATTTCTTGTCGTATAGTGGCTCTACTTAATGTAGCCTGTATTAATGTGAAATATTTACCAGAATATTCAATAAAAAGATGAACAGTATTTAGAAGTGGGGTGTGATCCTTTCAGTGGTCATGCAGGTACCACCCAATTCACAATCATACTGAACCATATTGAATATTATTTATCACAGTTTACACTTTAGACGCCATTCTTAGGCAGCCTTGAAAAAAGCACTTCTCAGACTAGTTCTACTGAGTCTGTGTTAAACATTCCTTATTCTCTTCCCTATCATTTTATTATTATAAGTGAGAAAGTTTCAAGTCCCTGCAACTTATCTGGCTTTAGCAGATAGGCCATTGATAGGTTTGACTCTTTATAGTTTGAGAGTATGTGAACAAAAGCAATTCAGTCAGATAGCACTCATCAAACTTAGGGATACCCAGCTCATCAACTTCAGGTTCATTCTGTGCTTTCTGACTTGTTAACCTAAAGATTTATTTGGTTATAGGTGTTTTAAGTTTTACCTGGGTTAGGACATGGGAGGGGTAAAGGTGACTCCTATAACTGTTGTATTATTGAAACAGCTGAGTAATGTTAATAAATATGTGACTAATTCTGGGCTTAGTTCCATGGCCCCAGGTATAAAGAACCAATATATTTAACAAGCTAAACACAGGAACACTGGACTGGATTGCTTTGGCCAAACTATCTGATGCAATAGAGAAGGAAAAACTATCCCACTGAAAAGAACCGTCATCAACTTGATCATGTTTTAATGTAGTAGAATTTCCTTGTCTTAGGTACAGACAATCTGAAAAGGTCAACGAGAAAATGTTTCAGGCTGATACAAAAGCCAAAATACCTATCAGGGGTAAAGAAGGATACACAAAAAAATAGAAACTAGAAGCAGAACCACACAAGCAGCACTCATGCCAACAAGGGTTCTTAATCTTCTCTGCCTGGTTCCTAAAGCAAGCCCTAGATCAGACATACCATGCTTGTTTTGTGTTAGACATACCTGATTCTTTGTCTTCTGTATCATTTTATATTTCAGCTCATTTTTAATGAATTCAGAAAGTATCACTAGTGTTGTAGCTACTTCCTCTATAGTGTTTGATAACCATGTCAGGTATTTTCAAGTGACCCCTTACCTTGAAGGGGACAAAAGACCCTTGCATCACCTACATATCTTGCTGTTTTCACTTGCTACTAGTCAAAAAAAATCACCTAATGGTGAAACGATTGAAATTACTCTTAATGAAACATATGCTAGTGAGAGATAATATTAAGTTATTCAGTGGGATCAAAAGGTGAGTTTTGTTCTGTTTTAATTATCCACAGTGCATTTTAATTATGTATTTAATTCAAGAGGGTTTAGGCCTGTCATCTGCTCTCTGAGGGCATTAGGATAAGGAATTTTATCACAGGTCAGGAACTAAAACCCATGAGCAGAGGAGGTAATTATGAGAAGCCTCTACAGAGATTAGGAAGAAACGTGCTGTGCAGTTGAGAGTAGTTATTTAGGGTACCCTTCTCTGTGTCCTCTTATCAGCACTGCCTTCATTTCTACTTGGATCCCAATAACCTACTCCCTGCCCCGTTTTGCCTGCTATAATCTCTTCTTCCTCTGTCTTGCCTCTTCCTGGCATTACTTTACTGCTATTTTACCATCCTGAACCTTGGATTAAACGTAGCTCAGGTAAGAACTTAATTACTTTCAAATATATATAAGGGATTTGGGGGGAGGCAGCATGGGTACAGTGAAACAAGGGTCAGAAGCTTAAATTCTATTTTCATTTCTGCCACTTTAAGCTCTCTAGCTTCAGGAAAGTCATTTCTCATTTCTGAGCTTCAATTATCTCATCTGAAAATGAAATTGAACATAAATGAACTCAAGAGAGTCTCCTAGATCTCACAGGTTTTCTTATGAATTAGAATATAAAGTATGGGAATTCTGAAGCCAATGGAACATTTACATTGCTGAGATTTGAGAGCCCCTACCATTAGTTCTCACATGGAATCAAAAGCCTGCTCTGTGGAGACCACTAATGACTTTGAGCATTTAGTGGAGGCAGAAGAAAACCTTGCCTATCCATAGTGAGCCCTCGAATCATTAAGAAACATCCTGCTGGGGCATAGATCGTACCCATTGTGAATAACAGTTCTTTTAAGGAATGATTCTGTATCATCAAGATTCCTGGACCCACTTATTTAAAGTAGTGTTGAATGTAATAAAATTCCCACCACCAATAAAATTATTGCTGTTTTAAGACCCTTTAAACCTATTGTGGCTACAGTGTGCTGACTTGCCCTTTTATAGGCCAGTCTGCTTCCTTCAGTCCCTGCTCTCAAAGGGGAAATCCCATCAACTCAGCTAAGCAGACCAAAGAAGAGAGTTGGACAGCCAATGGGGTCCTCTCCTAACCAGAGGTAAGAAATCTCAGGAATTGGAACTGCAGTTTTCATCTATTCTTGTAGATTCTGACCAACTTCCTCCAAACTGCAAAATTAGTGCACAAAGGGACCACTCTTTTGGGGTTTTTTTTTTTTGTTTGTTTGCTTTTTATTTATTTATTTATGCATACAAGAACTGGGGTGTAGGCCAGAAGTGCAGGGAGGCGGGGAGAGAGGATTCACCAGAGACAGAGTGGGGAGCAGAACAGGTGGATCTACTGCAATACACTGCTGAGGGGAGCAGAGGGCGAGACAGGAGAGGTCTGCTGCCCTATGTGGGTCAACTCCCTGGCCAGGGATCAAACTCATGCTGCAGTGGGTGGAGATAGCTTGATAACACTGAGACTTTAACCCCAGCTCCACTAGGGAGGCCCAAGGGGACCAATCTTTGTTAGATGTAACTTCTAGAAAGGGAATAGCTGGTTGAATAATAGTTTCAAACCAAACAGAGAAAAGTACTTAGTATAAAACAGTACTTTCCCACTGTTTTACGACCTTTGGACCACACTGTAAACCTAGAAAGAGGCAAACAAGCCTGTAGGAAAACAGCTTCTGAACACCTTGTTCTCTAACTAGCCATAGATATCTTCCACCAAAAATGTGGCAGGTTATGACGTCTTCCCAGTGGACCTTGTCCTGGAGTGAGGGGACTCTAATAATGTTACATTTTCTATTCATCTTCAAAGATTTGTCACTATTTGCCAACAGGCAGTTTCCTTCACCTTCATTCTCTCCTGTTGGCAATGAGCATGAAAAAAGTGGTTTTATATAAACAAGTGTATTAAGTCCACCTCCAATAAAGGGCAGAAGCCTGGGCTTCAGAAACAGATTTGGAAAACAAGACCATGAATCTGATGAACTAATTGCAAACCTATTTTGTGATTACTTTTTACTTACCATTTTTGATCTTGATAATATTTGTGTGAGTCCCAAGTAATTTGCCTGGTAAGCAGAGACCTGATAGTCCCTTATTCAGGTTATATGGGCAGATGGGCCTGGGCATAGTTGTTGTTTTCTTTTAAGCTCCCATACACTTAATAGGTAACCATCACTGTTGATCCACTGATTTAAACTCTTGATTCTGCATCCAGGTTGCATGAATAATGAATCTGGTTTTCTCTCTAAAAGCCAACAACATATTCTCTAGTTCCCTAGCTCTTGGAGTACACAGGTATTAGACTTAGTACTTACTCTCCCAAGTCTTCCTGCCTCCTTTCATATCATATCACTGTACCAACATCAAAAAATCTTAAATCTAACCTAAGGCCACACTCTCTCCAGCCTTCCTTTCCTGGGAGATAAAAACCAAAGCCTCCCTGCCCTTTCTTAGTTTCCTGGGGTGGGTTAGCTGTGGCAGAGAGATCAAAGGACAGGCCTCTTTTATCCCCCAAACTTGACTCATCCTTCATAGTTGGGCCCAGGTCTCCATCCAGAAAGGACACCTCCTGGCCTGACCTTCCTGCTGTGCACTGGACCATCAGAGCACTTTCCATCTTGTACTGTAATTCATTAATGGGAGGCTGAACACAGCTGTGCTGAAGGGCACAGGTTTACTCAAGTTTAAATCTCAGCTTCCTCTCCTACAATATGTGACTTTAAACAAATCACCTCTCTGGGCTTTAGTTTCCTCCCTTGTAAAATGTGGCCAGTAATAGTGCTTTAATGTCCAAAATTGTTGAGAGAGATAGGAGTAAAGTGTGTCATAGGTCACCTGCCCCCAGCGCCCAGCTGGAAACAACCAATAGCAAGTTGGCAACGCTCGGGCAGTCAGGCCAACGAGGGTCTGGAGGCCAGGAGGGTCTGGAGGCCAGTGCAGGACCTGGGACTCCTTCCAGCTTCTATGCTAGCCTGGGCTTGCTCCCTCGCAGGTAGGGCGGGACCGTCGGGTTGAGTGACGGCGGGTGTCCCGCCCCGGGCGTGACGTCGTCCTGGTGTTGTTGCTGCGGCCGCACGTGGTCGACTGAGTCCGCCTCAGACTCAGCTGCGCTCAGCGTCCTCAGTACCAGCCGCTTGCATTCCTGCTCGTCCCGCTCGCTATGTCCACGTCCACGAGCTGCCCGATTCCCGGGGGCAGGGACCGACTGCCCGACTGCTACAGCACTACGCCGGGGGGCACGCTATACGCCACCACCCCGGGAGGTCAGCGGGCAGGGACGGGATCTGCAGGCAGCGCTGGCGAGCGCGCGCGCGTGCCGTGGCGGGGCGGGGGCCCGGGGCCGGGCGGTGTGAGACTTGGACTTGTCCACTGGCGCCTGTGCAGGTTGTATTTGGGGGGCTTGGGGGTTGTTGTGTGGAGCCGAAACTCAAGTTCCTAAAACTTCAGAGTGCTGCAACACAGCTCCTTCCGGGTGACTGGGCTGAAATCGCTGGGCTGGGTTCTGGCCACTTACTCATTGGCCCTCTCAGACTTTGGCGCCTGGGAGCAGGCACTGAGGCCCCATCTGACCGCAGCCTCAGGAACACACATTGGGTCTTGCCAAGCAGCTACCGCGGGACTGGGCAGTTGGAGGCAGGGACTTAGAGTCTTTGGGCTGGCTGGGCCAGCAGCCCCGGATCAGAAGATCCTGGGCTCCTGAACCAGGGGTTGCTGCCACGTGGAGGCGGAGGGAGGGGTAAGAGCAGGGCAGGACCTTTATGAGGACACAGAGTTCCTCTAGGCTGGGCTGAGCCCAATCGGACTTGGGAGGGGTCAGGGCTGAGCCTGAACTGGGACTTGGGAGGGGTCAGGTTAAGGACATTTTGTGCCTGTGTTTTACGGGGAACACAACTCCTTCCATCAGAGAATTAAAGCCCAGGTGGCAGGGTGAGTTTTGAAAAGCCTTCACATCTGTGGCTTCCTGATCTAGCTGAGGTGGAAGAGCTGGGCCCCACCAAGTAGACTAAAGCAGTCAAGTCCCACAGCCAGCATAACTGTACAGTGGCAGCCTGCCTAAAATCAAACCTGAGCTCTCAGTTTGGTGGTGCTCCTAGAACTAACCAGCTGGGATGCTCCATTTGCTTTATGGAGCTTAGCCACATCTTGTTCAGGTCCAAATGTGGCTGTGCAGGTTAGTTGGTTGAGATCCTGGCTAGGTTGCAGAGCCCTAACCTTTTAATATACAGGAACTGAGACTCTTGGGTCTCTAATAAAAGGCCTGCATCTAGAGCTCCAGACAGCTCTGTACCCAAATTGCTGCCTCTTACCTATATCCCTTGACAGGCACCAGGATCACCTACGACCGAAAGTTCCTGCTGGAGTGCAAGAACTCACCCATTGCCCGGACACCACCCTGCTGCCTCCCTCAGATTCCCGGGGTCACAACTCCTCCAACAGCCCCACCTTCCAAGCTGGAGGAGCTGAAGGAGCAGAAGGAGACAGAGGAAGAGATACCCGGTAAGGAAAGCAGGGCCTAAAATTTAAAAATTACTTCACTAGAGTGGGGCTTCTACTCCAGGAGGACTTTCTTCACCAATGCTGGGCTTGCAAACCCTCAGCCTGAAACAGTTCTTTTTTTCTCCAGATGACGCACAATTTGAAATGGACATCTAATCCAGTGCCGATGACTGTGTGTATGGAGTTAGAGGGATCCTTCATGCCGTTCCTGCCACCACCTCTTCCAGGGGTAGCCAAAGGCCAACTGGCCTCATCTAATCTGGAAGGGAGTGACTTGTTGGTTCTGGGCCTCCCTTAGTTCTGAGGCAGCTAGACCAGAGATAGGAGTGGGCAACTTGCCAAGCCCTTTGCTCTACTTTCTCTGTGGTCTGTAGGCACTCCTCCCAACCCCGAGCCCTCCATGCTTAAGGGCTGAGGCTAGGACTGGGGAATGGAGTATGTCACCTTCTGCTTAGTAAAGGTTCAAAGAAATGCCTTGGCTCCAGTGTCCTCAATGCTGATCTTCCATCTCAGTCATACAGCTGAGATGCCCCAGCTGGCCTAGTCAGGATCAGAGGTCCCAGGTCCCTCTCCATTGGGCCCACTTCCAGCAGCAAGTAGAGCCTGAAGCTATGGGGATAGGCTACAAGAGCTGCCAAACCATGAACAGTAATAGTCTAGCCCCTGCCAGGGACTGTCCCAGTCTTTCCAGGACGCAGCATTCCTGGAATTGGACTTTCCCGGCAGTCCTTCCCTAGCTATTCCAAAGCAGGAAGAGGTGGCGCCCAGCCTTCTACTGTCTCTCCGTGCCTTTTCTGCCTCTCACCTGTTAAGTACCACCCCCTTTATTCTGACACTGAAAACCTCTACCCTCCCTTCTCATAGCATGACACAAACTTCTGTGGCCCCTTCCACCTATTATGGCTCTGTTGTCCTCAGAGTTAGGGCCTAAACTGAGGCAGCAGCTTATTCAGCAAGTCAGAGTCATAATCCCACAGTTTAGTAATCTGGTCCTTTTCTCCTTTAATTTATACAGCCATTTTCAAATCTCTGGTTCTAATTAATCCCTGTAGCATCTGAGGTAATTTCTCCTTCAATTTTTACAGCTACGTTCTTCCTAATCTCATTCCAATCACTGTTACCCTTTTACATATACCTCAAAGGTAGTAGCAGAATAGGGTAGTCTCATTTTCTTGAAATCCCCTGTGCTACTTCAGCTTCTATTATCATGCTGAAATGAAATCATCCAAAGATAGTGCTGCTCAGCCCAGCAAGAGTGGTACTTTTCATTCTAATTGGGGGGGAGGGGGGAAGTAGCAAGCAGTAATCTGCTCATGTCCAGAGCATGGAGGAAAAACAGGTTTGCTGGATGCCTGGGGAACAGGGTAGTCAAAGACACGGGGGGGGGGGGGGGGGGGACAGTTTGGCATAGGACAGGGTGCACCTCTCCTAAACCAGGGCCTGCCGTTGAGGTGTTTTTATTGAAATCCATGTTATGGGTAACAAGTGGCCCGGGTGAGACCTCTTCCCCAGAGATGGGTCAGGCCAAGGACCCCAATGGGGCAGACAGTCTCTCAAGTGCTAAGAGGGAGCCAAATGAGAAGGCCTCCATTGCCAACACATGGGAGATGGTGTGGTTTGAGTCTGGGGAACCCGCAGAATTATGGAGCCTGTTGGATGCCTGGTACGATCTGGGTTTTCTCAGCTGTGGCTGTAGATTTGTCTTCATTGGCCTCCTCTGAAGACAGACTTCTCTTTTCCGCAATTAATCTTTTAACTCCTACCATCCACTGACTGACTTCAGTCACATGGTCAACCATGAGTGAGCGGTGGATGTCATCTGCGGCTTCCCAGTGGTGGCTTGAAAGCTCTGAGGAGAAAGAGGGGCTGAGCAGGTAGCCTTAAGCAAGAAACACAGCTCCCATTCCTCCCCTCTCAGCCAAATTCTCAGCACCTGTCCCAGGTCAGCCAGCACGGCTGGAAGAAGGAACTGGGCTGCGCCACCAGGGACCCACTCCTACCCTGCACCAGCAGCGCCATCCTCTTCTTCACAGGCGTTGACAGCTTCCCTCCAGCCCACTGCTCCTGCAGCAGAGCTAGGCGTCTGCTGATGTCATCACAGACCTGCTTCTGAGAGATAGATGCCCCCTCCCAGTCAGCTACCAGCCCAGCGGGCAAGGGGAGGCAGTGCACACAGGCAGCACCGGCTTTCTCTGTCCAAAGGACTTTGCATTTAACCTTCATGTTCTGGTACTTTACCCAAAGGTTAGAAACCCCAGTGAGACACTAGTAAAAACTATTAATCTCCTTTTAAGAAAAGTACATGTGTGCCTAGAATTTTTCAGTTTCAGGAATATCTCAAATTCTCAAACTCATTCTGCTGTGCTACTCTACAAATAGAGAACTAAGGACCCAAGAGATAGAAATCACTAGGCAATTTTAACCTTCTTTTAAGAATCTTCAGATCCCTTGCCGCCACAGAACTTAGGACAACACTATAGATTTGTGGGGGGTGGGGAGGCTTTCCCTCTCTGCCTGAGCACAGAATCAGCAGGGTCTGCTCTGAGTGATGTAAGGGTACAAAAACCAGGCTGTTATCACTAATGGGAGTTCAATTCAACTTGTGTCCCTACACATCTCTACTAAATGGTCTTCAAAACTCCATGAACCCTCCTGAAATCCTGTGTTCATTTTTCTGTGAAATCCCCAGCAGATCCCAAAGGGACTCCTAACTCAAAAAGGGTTAAGAGCCACTGCCGAGAGGGTCAGAGATTAACTCCGGGAGCCATACCTGCATCTGGGGTCAGTGGAGCCTTCCTCATCACCCAACATGCATGCCAGTGCTTACCTTTGTGTGGCCCTGGCAGTCTTCCAATGCCTGTTCCAAAGGTCTCAGCACCTCTTCTAGGAGAGTCTCTGACTCAATGACTGGGGAATTTGTGGGCTCCACACTGAAGGCAGGACAGCTCCCCATAGGGGGCGGGCCAGAAGCCTTACTTGAAGGAGGTGGAGGCCCCATTGGGGATGGCCCAGGAGAAGTCTCTGAGGTGGGGACTGAAAAGGTAAAGCAGGGTCAAGCAATTATGATTTAAATTGGTAAGAAGCTCAACTCTAACTTAATTTTTTAAGCGAGGCCACAGAGATAGAACAATAAGCCAGATTAGGTTCCTGATCTCAGCTTAAATTCTAGAGGGAAAAAAAGAAAATTACCAAATTATGCTGTATGCTACAAAGAGAATGGATGGTGTGATAAAATGGAAAATATAATAGGACATAATTAGACTGTTCATGGAAGGCCTTTCTAAGGTGATATGTAAGTTACCCTAGCTCACTCAGTATGTGATGTTTAGCAGTTACTTTTAACCTCTGAGCTTGGGTTCCTCTTCTGCAAAATGGGAATACTAAAATAATAGTTATTTTACAGGGTTGCAGTAATTGTGCATACAGGTAGAGCTGCTAGATTAATGTGTAGCAGCAAAAAGTGTTCAGAGTGAAGATCTAATGGATATTAGATGCAGCCATGAAGAGCTGAAGGAACTGTGTGCGCTAGGCAGAGCAAGCGCCATGCCCAAGAGGCAGGGAAACTGACTTGTTCAAGGAAGAGAACCAAGGCCTGTGCGGCTGGAAATTAGTAACAACAAAGGGAGAGGTAAGCAGGGGATCGACACCCTGCAGGGCTTTGAAGTTTGGTTTTAAACCTAATAGGAAGTCACCCGGGGTTTATAAAAGCAAGGGATGTGACTACATGGCGTTTTAAGACATTCATTGTATAGCATGTAAAAAACTGATGAGAATAGGTCAGGAATGGAGGCAGGAACAATAGCTGGTTGATTAGTGGAGAAGTCCAGGAAAGAGCATGTCAGCAGAGACTAGATGAGGGGAAATAGAGTGGTCTGAGATCTTATTTAGAGAAGACAACAACAGGACTTTGTGGAGCAGAGAGATAAGTCAAAGATGACTCATGGCTTCTGGCTTTAGTAAGGGGCCAATGGGACCATTACTGGAGGAGAAAAATAAAAAAATGTACATCCACATGGACAGTTACTCTACTAAGGTGGCCTTTGATTTCTTGGTTTCTCCAATGGTTATGTATTTTACACCTTACCTCAGCCTCTCACTCCCCTCTGCCTGTCTCGCCACCATACTACCTCCACAGTTGGACCCCTCCTCCTCCGCTTCCAGCTCAGCTACCCCAGCTTCATCACTTCTTACAAAAGCACTCTCACCTAACTGATCTGCTCTCACTGTCCACTTTTCTGGTAAACCCAGCTTGGCTGCACTTGTTGGGAAGAAAAACAGAATCACGTTGATGAGTTAGACTTTAAAATTCATGGCTACACATTAAATCCTACCCTTTGCCTTAAATCCACACCTGGCCTCTTTTAAACTCTTCTGCCTTCTCCCCCTTCTTTTCCTTTCCCTGCTGTCTCTCTAGTTCTGCCCCTCCCTCAGATTTCACTAAGAAAATAGAGGTCAATTAGACAGGAATTCTCATCTTCCACCACTTCTACTAGCCCACCTGCATCTAGGGCACTTTCCCTCCTCTAGTAGATGAAAGCTCCCTGCTCTTCTCCCACACCCTCTCCAGCCCTACTGTACACCCCCACCTCCCTGCCTTCGCGCTTTCCTCCTGAAGAGCAGGTCTCTCTTCCTCCTGAGTCATCCCTGAGCATAAGAACATGCTGAAGATGCTTTAGTGTATTTTAAAAAGGCCTCCCCCTATTTTTTTATTTTTATTGTATTTTAAAGAGGCCTCCCCCTATTTCATCTTCAGGTAGTTCATAGAATATCTTAAATGAAACGTCTGTAATCACTCTACTTTTCACATTCTGTCTTCAGCCCATTCCAGCTGGGTTACTCTCACCACTCCACAAGCTGTTCTTAAGGTCATTACAATTATCGACTAGTAGTCATTTTTCTCTATCTAACTTGACCTCTCAGCAGTCTCTCTCTCCCAGAGTAAATTTTACTTTTCTTTCTTCTTTGGTTATTTCTCAGTCTCCTCCCTACTCAATGCTGAAATGCTAGAGAGCCTTAGGACTCTGTCTTGGATCTTTGGTCGTCTGTCCACACACTTTCTATGTAAGCAGAAATGACATCAAATACCATCCATGTGATGGTGACTCGTTTCTCTAATTTGGTCTAGATCTCTCCCCAAAACAGCAGCCCGGATTTAACATGGCAGAAACAGAAAGTTTGCTTTTGCCCTTCTCACAAAACCTTTATCCCCCAGTCTTCCCGTATCAATGAACAATACCCCAGCCAGTTCTTCAAGCAAAAAATTTAAGTTACGCTTTTCTTTCCCTCACCTCCTATATCTACTCATTGCTGTTTTCTCCCTATCGGTCTATCCTACCATCTCTAGAACTCCCATCCTTGTCCAAATCATCATATTTTGCCTGTTACCGTAATAGCCTCTTAATTTATTTTTTGTGGCCTCTTAATCCTTCCCACTTCTTCCCTAAAATTGGTTTTCCACACACATATAGATGTAAAAATTGGGGAAGATTCTGCCCTAAGCCCAACATCTGGAGACCCTTTTGGCTATCAGATCTGGATTGGTGCTTAAGGTTTCTGGTGGGTAGAGGCTGGGGATGCTGCTAACATCCAACAATGTGAAAATAATTCATCACAGGCCTCCCTGGTGGTGCAGGCGGTTGAGCGCCGCACTGTGAAGCTGTCCACAGCCTCTGCAACGCGAGTTCGATCCCCGCCAGCCAGTGAGAATCCCACATGGCAAGCAGACCTCTCCTGTCTCGCCCGCTGCTCCCCTCAGCAGTGTATTTCGTCAGTCTGCCTGTTCTGTTCCCTGCTCTGTCTCTGGTGAATCCTCTCACCCTCCTGTGCATCAGGCCTGTACCCTGGTTCTTGTATAAATAAATCTTTAAAAAAAAAAAGTTCATCACAACAAACTATTACTTAGCCCAAAATGTCAATAGTTCCAAGGTTAAGAAACCCTGGTTTAAATCGTTCCAATGCAGTGTTCTAGGTATGAAGAATAGAGGGACGATGAAAGACCTGAATCTGAGTCTCTCCCTGAGCATTTCCCATGCCAAAAGGTGGGGCTTTGACCCAGTTTAAAGACCCATCTACTTAAACTTTTCAATGCCTTCCAATTTCACATAGAAAATACAAATGCCTTATCCTGATTTACAAAGCCCACTGTGACGTGGCACCTTACTACTTTTTTCAGATCTCATATCTATTTCCAGTGCATAGGTGCTCTAGCCACTAGGTATTCTGTCTGAATCTGCCAAACTTGTTCCCATTGCAGGACCAGCTGTTTCCAATGCGTGGCACATTCTTACACTTGATCTTCGGTCACTAGCTTTCAATCATTCAGATTTCAGCTTAAATATCAGCCCCTCAGGCACATCACCGTTTTATTTCTTGTCAGAGCCCTCACTACTATTCCATGTGTATCTCCAGAGCTAAGAGTGTGGGCTCCGTGAGAACAGAAACCTCTTTCTTGTTTACTGCTGTCTAGGTCGACCTCAGGGTCGCAGGATAAAATAAATGGGTGAATAAGACGTTAAGTCCTAGATGCTTATTAATCCAAGTGAAGATGTAGAAAATAGACAAATGGATATATCACTACGGAGTTCTGGAAAGCGGCGCAGGTTGAAAATAAAATTTGAGAATGAAAAATACAACCCCAAAGATGTTTGAAAGGCCTCCCCTGAGATCTTTTGTGGGGCTCCAAGCTTTCTCAGGGGAGTCCTCAACTGAGCAAAAAGGGCCCTCCGGACAGGTTTATCGGCGCACCGCCCAATCTCGGTGGTCTCCGCACTCAGGGACCCCACGCACCTCTGGGGGATCCATCCTGCGGGGCGGCAACCCTCTTGGTGAGCGGCGTGCGCTTGGGTCCGCCGGTCTGGGTCTGCAGACCATAGGAGAACTGCGGCGGGTCGTTCCAGCCGCGCTCCTTGTTGCCTGCGGAAGTGAGACGTGTGAAGCGAACCTGGGGGAAACCCGGGGCTCGCAATCCACGCGGTAACCGCACCCAGCCTCCGCCTCAGGGAGGCCCCAGCGCCCCCAGCCCGTTGGTCGCGCTCACCCGGCTTCACGTACAGCTCCGCCATCTCCACTTCCGCACGGCCAGCGGGGCAGCGCGTCACTTCCGGGGCGGCCGCAAGGCCCCGCGGGCTGGGGCGCGCCGCCCGAGCCCGCTCCCCCTGGCGCCTTTGAGGGTGGACCCGAAACGCTACACCGGCTCCCCAAGGGGCTCGAAATTTCCTCCAAATAATGACGCAGCGGAGCCTCTTACCAGGAGGCGGCGGTCTAGACCCCAGTCCGCTCTGGGTCCCATCGCGCCAGTGTTGGAGGCCCGCGTTTAAACCACCAGGCATCTCCTGTCCCACACGTGGCCCTCAGTGGTGGGTTTCTGAAATCTCACCTCCACCTCACATTTATACTAAGTTCAATAACTAGTACTTAAAACTCCTTCGGTGTTCTATGCCGACTCTTGAAGTCACATCTCACCCGAGTTCCGATCACGCCTCAGATTACCTATTATTTTTAGTCTTTGATTCATTAGTCTTCCCCCTTCTGACAGTATCAAAAGATGAACTCCTGACTCTTACTACATACCCGGTGACTAGCTTAGTGCCTGGCATAGAAAAGACCTTAGAAGATCTACCTGTTGAATGAATGGACTTCGGGCTTCCCTCTCACCCCGGCTCTCATGCAACTGTAAGCAGCCACCAACACCAAACAGACTCACTCACCTCACATGTTAACCCCCAATTCTGACCCAGGCCCAATATACTCACACCCATTGAGGTCACTGAGGAATTTTTATTTGTAATGATTTTGCTATAAAGTGTTGCTGAGGTAGAGCCAACTGTCCAGAATCAGACAGGGGCAAGGAACACAGGGACCCAGGAGAAGGGAAGCCAGAGGCCTAATTGTGATGCAGGGCCTCTCAGTCACCCACATAAACAATAAATTGGGCAATAAATAGAGGGTGGGCAAAGGTCTGAGGGGCAGGCAGAGAAGGCTCCAAGGGGGGAGAGGCTACAGGCCCCTGGGGAGTGAAAGTGTAGAGTTGAGCATGGAGCCAGAGCCTCTTTTCCCCAATCCTCCTGGATCAATTTAGGGCATATGGAGCAAAGAGGGTTTCAGCCGGAAGGCATCAAGAAAAGAGAAGACACTCCTCTTTCGAGGGGCTGCCCCTGAACCCCCAACTCCTCCTTTCAGTAGAGGGAGAGGCAGGGGACCTCCTGGAGAGTCCACAGAACTGGTCCGCTTGAGCCGCAGGCGGGCACGAGCCTGAGCACCCCAGGCCTTGCCTCGAGTTGCAGAGGCCACAAGACACTTCTGGTATTGAACCTAGGGAGAAGGTGAATGTAAGATTCCAGGTCCTTTCTGTTCCTGGATTCCCTGAAAGTTTCTGCAGGAAGGCATCGGTCTAATATGAGGCTGTTAGGAAGCCACATTGGAACCCCTTCAGCACTTCCAGGTAGGAAAAAAACACAAAACATGATATTTCCTGTGCATTCAAGGAAGGCTAGACACTATGCTAAGTGTTTTGTATAATCTAACTTAATCCATGGTTATTTATTAGGTGTCATTATCCCCATTTTGCAAATAAGGAAACTGAGATCTAGAGAGAGCACATGGGGTCTCCGAGGTAGCCTAAGGGTTAGTCTCAGCGCTATCACCTCTGCCGCCTGAGTTCGATCCCCAGCCAGGGAGCTAACCCACATATGGCACAGCAGACCTCTCCTGTCTTGCTGGCTGCTCCCCTCAGCAATGTATTTCAATAAATCAGCCTGTTCTGGTCCCCACTCTGTCTCTGGTGAATCCTCTCACCACTATCAACCCCCACGCCCCCTACCCTGCACCTCTGGCCTGTACCCCAGTTCTTCTACTAACTAAATATTAAGAGAGCGAGAGCACACATGACTTGCTCAGTCATCTAGCCAGAAAATGGCAGAATTGGGATTCAAACCTGGCTCTGCCTGCAGAACCTGTGCCCCCAACCTCACCGACTGCTGTGCTGACTCTCATCTCTCACAGGGGTGGACTGGTCTCAAGCATAGTGGATTCCCTAGTCAAAGGGAGAATGGACAACCCAAACTCCCAATGCAATTAACCAAGGATCTTCCTAGTACTTCTCGAGTCTTCCAAATCTTTTACCTATACTGTAGTTTAAGTGGTCTTACTGATCCACAAACTTGACTTCACTGTCCTGTCCAAAACCCTTCAATGGTTTGAAGTGTTGGAATAAAATAAATTCATCACTGTGACCTCTAAGTTCTTCCATGACCTGATTTCTGCCATTCTTTCTGCCCCCTTCTCTCACTCCACCCACTCCTGCCTTGTACTCCAGATACACTACATTCTTCCAGATACTCTAATCCACTAACATCTCTCACCTTCTCTGCTGGGGTTCCCTGTACTTGGCACACCTTCCAGCCCACTCCCTTCACCTGGCTTACTTCCTCTTTGTTCTTTCAACTCTGGCTTTTCTATCACCTCTCTGGGATAACCTTTCTGAACCCCAGAAGGGTGTGTCTCCATCATCCTGTGGTGTACCTTCGTTCTAAACTACCTTCTCTCTAACCTCAGTGTTCTGTAAGGATGAGAGCTATGCCCTCTATTCCACTGAACTCCCCCAGTCAAGTACCATGCCTGGTAACCCGAAAGCACTGATACTTGTTAAGGAATGAGCAAAATGAACCAACAGAGCAGAGTGTAAGCATCCCACACCCAAATGCCTACAGATACAAGGACATAAACTAAATTAGACGAGCAGGAAAAGCAGTGTCCACTCTACAGGGCATAGCACATCCATGATTTCAGTTGAGTGTGGAAATTTGTGTATAGACCCAGTGTCAGAGCTTCGGGCATTTTTGGAAAAACAAGAATAGCAATCACTGTGTGAAATGTCCCAGCCTTTATATGCTGGTAACTAAAACTTACTAAAAACAGCAGGAGGACCAAATAGAATGACAGCCAACCCTGGGATTGCTGGTTTGTAATCTCTGGAGAAAAGACTGATCCTGAGCCTCAGTTCCCAATACTGAAAACATGGGCAACCCCACCCTCCCACTCCACCTCGAACTCACCATGCAAGCAGCCTGCACAGCTTCAGAGAGTCTCCCAGCATGGGGCTGGCACCAGAAGGCAGCGCACTGGAAGCTCTGACGGCCCAGGTCAGCAATGAGGCCAAAGGTGTGTGGGTCGCGGCCAACACCAATGAAGGTCACGAGGCGCACAGGACACTGCCACAGTGGCTCCTCCTCTGCACCAGCTTCTGCCTGCCCACACCAGGCCTAGTCACTACAGGGCCACAGGCTGGACACACTGAACCCTCCCAGAAGCCAGCAGTGACCCTTCATTATACCCACCGCCTCCTCCACAGCCCCCCACTTCACCCTCTGGTACCTGAATGGGATGTGCAGTCATGAGAGAGTCAGATACACTGAGCATGGTGGGGACCCAGGCATCCCGGCTCCCCCGGGTGGTGAGGGTACCAATAGCCTCGTTCAGCACATCCATACCTGGAGGGAAATGCCCAACACGGTGTCTCACAGACATGAAGAAAGAAGAGCCCTTCTCACTGACTTGGGGTTCAGGGAGACAGGAACAGAATACTGGGGCAGGGTTTAGAATCCTGAATTGGCAGGAGTGGTACATCCGGGGTATACGGAGCCATGAGAGCTGAGAAAAGGAGCTAGGTCCCACCTCCTCATGACCTTACACAGCCCACGGCCTCCAGCCCGTTCAGTCCTCACCCATGGCTTTAGTGACCGGCAGAGTCCCCATGTACAGTGCCTCGTACTTCTGCGCAGCCTGGCTCACTGCGTCCAGCAGCTCCACTGAAACACACACACAGAGTGGCCTGGGCACTCTCTCACTGACACCTTTCCCCACCCCTCTGAGAGAGCTGGAGCGCGCAGGAGAAAGGCCACGGCACTCCTCCAATTTAGGGTTTGAGATCCTTGGAACCAGGGCACCTCAGAAGCCCCCTATCTCCAGGGAAATACTAAATAGCCAGGACCCCACCCCCCACTCCACCTCTGGCCAAAGCAGGGCAGCTCCTTCCCTCCCATACCTTGCCGCGGCAGGTCTTCAGGGGAGATGGGGTCTAAGGAGCAGCATGGGGAGCCACCGCTCACTCCCACTCGCTCTGACAAGATCTGGAACACAAATGAGTCAGTGTGAGGCACAGGGAGAGGGACCTTGAGGTGAGGGAGCCAATACCACCTGCCCCGACCATCTGGGAAGTCTCAAGCCCAGCTCCTCACCCACATTCCCTGCACCACTCGTGACCCTTACCTGAGCACAGAGCCCATGTAGGGCACTGGCAATGGCCTTGGCAGGGACGTCACAGCGAAACACATGGCACTTGAGCATACAGCTGTCTTTGTCACCCGCCACAAAAGCGAAGTCCCTGGCAGGGTCAGAGATGGGGCTGGGACAGGGGCAGAGATGGGGCCGAGGTAGCGACTGGGGAGTGGCAGGGGCCTGTAGTGCCTACAGGAAGCTGTAAAGTCAGGCAAGGGACATGGCAGGGGAAGAACAGGGAGGTCAGGGCTGGGGCTCAAGACACCTGGCCGTTACTCACCTGTCACTGTTCCAGAAGCATGTGGGAGCACAGGAGAGAATCAGCCCAGCCTGTCAGGCTCTCCCCCATCCGTCCCTGCTGAGCTGGGCCCACCCTCCCCAACCAGTGTTGGACCAGGCAGGGGAGGCAGAGCTTGGATCCATGACAGAGGATCTGTGTCCAAGGGTTCAAGTACAGGGGAAAAACATCAGTGGGAATCACAGGCTGCAAGGGGGAGGGAGGAGCAACTATAACGTGGGGGGAATATAGGGCTCCTCACCGGCCCTTGGAGCTGCCCACACCCCAAACACGGATGTGCACCAGAGGCTGGCAGTGGATCAGACTGTAGTCCAGGGGATTCACCAGGCTCATGGCATCCTTCTTCAAGATCATTAGCATGTTCTGGCCCTGCCAAGGACAGAGATCAGTCCAGAGCTCAGATGACTGTGGTTGCCACTGGGGAGAAGCAAGTCAATGAAAGCTACCTCTACCAGGCACTAGGCTAAACCCCTTAAAGGACCAGCAGCTCACCTCGCCCCAGGCACCTTCTGGGGGCCGGCTCTGAGTACGGGTCTGGGCCAGCTGCTGGATGCAGTTATTCACTGCAATACTGCTCTTGCCTGGCACCAGGTCCTCTTCAGGTACCTCTACCCATCCCAGAGAGCGGACTGCAAAGCACTGTTGGGGTTGAAGGAAAGGTCAGGAGGGTCCTGAGTAGAGGTGGAGTAGGATGGAAGGTATCAAAGATCCCACACATATAAACCCTCTGGTACCTGCTCCATGCACCCAGATCACCTCTGCTCAGCCCAATCCCATCCCTGACATTCCCCCTTGCGGCCCTCCCCCATGGTTTGGGCTGACCCTCAAGCTCATGTGACTACCTTAGCCCCTGGCTCCATGCTCTGGATGTAGGATTCCTCACCAAACCAGGACAGAGAGTTACTAGAACAGAGCAGAACTGGTAAGAGGAACACTTCTTACAGAAGGGACACTGGTGAAGCTCAGACTACTTGATGGGAACAAAAATATGGGATAAGACACATAATTTAGTACTTCTAATATAAAACCAGAGCAGAACAGGGTCCAGGACATATTAAACAAAGGTATCATAGAGTGTGGTGTCTCATTTGGCAGGACAAAGAATGTAGAATAAAAGCTGCAAATATGGAGCAGAGTCCAAACTGTGAACCAGAGCCCCAAATCAGGGCAAGAGGCCTAGAACACAGGATAGGAAGCCCCATGGGCAGAGCCTAAGACAGTGATCAAAGTCTAGAACCTGCTAGATCAGGACACAGAATATGGAAAACAACATGTAGCAAAAGATAGCGCTTGGAACAAGGGACAAATTCTAAATACTGAAAGTCAATAACATGGGACAGAGCCAAGAACACAAAACAGCCCCAAACACGGGACAGATTCCAGAAACTGGGCTGGGAAACAGACTGACACCAGCTTTAACTTTAGATGCCATGGAACCCCAAGTCTTTCATTTTGCCTAGCCTATCTATGTTACCTCCGATCCAGTGAGCTCTCCAAACTGGAGAAGGATCTCCCCTTGGGGGGCCGAAGTCCCCAAATCCTCTCCGTGCTCTGTAAAGAGAGAGCTAGGTCAGTGTAGCAGCAGGCCTAGCTCCACATAAGGGCGCAGGTCCGTCCCCTCCTTACCCTCCACTTACCGTGCCTGGGTCCTCTGCATCTCCTGGCTCCCAGGTCGGGCGCTGCCACTGGGTACTACCGCTAGGTACGTGCCAATAGTAAGTACCTGCAGCATCCCGAATCTTCCTCCAGCCAGGGGGAAGGCCTGGCTCACCCTCCAGATTCTGGTCCCCCCACAAGTCATCTACAGAAGCAAAGGAAGGGAGGGGGACAGGATTGGAAAGGGGGGGACATATTCAGGGGTTCAGAATAATCTTTCTTCACCCCTATGGGGCAACCCTTGGACTGGAGGTCCCGTCTGAGGATTCGGACTTTCAATTTCAGATATTGCAGCGCAAAGATCAGGCTTTATTCGTCCCCCGGTCTTTACCCTGACACGTACCCCAACCCCCTCCCGGTCTTTGAGCCTTCCGGCAGCCTTCGGCGCTCCCTCGTCCCCCCTTCAGGTTCGAGTCCACCCATCGGGCCCCTCCGTGCACACCATCGCAGTTGACCAGAATGATGGCTAGCATGTAATCTTTGCCCAGCATAGCCCCGGCCGCGTCCCCGCCGGCCTGCGCCGGCCTTGACTCTCAGCCCAGCTCGACCTCTGGAGTTGCTGCGCCTATAAGCCCAGCCTCTCTGCGCCGGAGTCTGGAGGGCCCGCAAGCGCCGCACAAAAACGGGGCGGGGCAGGGGCCGCCCCCGGAGGCTGGAGAGGAAGGACCGATGGGTGGCGCGTGTAAATAAGCGTCTGGATTCCCCAGTGGATGCACGTTTCCGTGCGTGAGTACGAGGGAGGCGCACCGACGCCAGCCCAGCCACTGACATCACCGCGCCACCGTGAACTCGTCAACTGCGGAAACCGGTCTGGGGAACGTCCCCGGGTGCACAAGTAAACAAGTGAGGTCATCGCGTCTAGGTCGTGAGCGCAAGCGCGAACGCTGCCCGGGACCAGACGCGAGGGGTCACGCGGGAGTTCCCGCGGCGGGGGAGAGGGCGAAGTCTCAGTCGCCAGGAAAGCGCCTCCGCCCTTTCCAAAAATGCCCCGGAAGTACCTCCGCCCTCGGTAAAGATGGCCGCGGCACTCGGCATTGAGGGGCGGGGCTGCGCCTGCGCAACAAGTTCGGCGGGGAAGATGGCGGATGACAAGGTGAGTGCGTGAGGGTGATCTGCAGTCAGTCAGATGTGATGGTCACACTTTTCTAATTCTGGGGAGAGGCGACAGTGGAGCAGCTGGTGGGTCGGGGTGCCCCAGGTTCCCTCTATGGGCGGACTTCTCGCCCGGGGGACTGTCTCGGCCTTTGGGAGTGAGGTGGCGGTGCGCTAGGAGAGGCAAGCGGAGCCCGGGATCACCCAGGTGACCCCTTCCGGAGCTTTCACGGTCCCCAGTTAGTCTTGCTCAGACACATTCAACTCTGCCACACTTCTCACTCTGCTCCATCCGCTGGCCCCTGAAATTTCCCTCTCGGACACACTGTGTTTCCAAATCCACACGACTATTCAAAACCATTCAATCCTTTGCGTGCACACGCAATTTCATTCCTACACGGAAGCAAACTGTTCTTTTGCCCACAGTCTTGCAGCCAGCCATTTCCCCTTCCCCAAGCCCACGCCCTAGCGCATCCAGTTATTCATTCAGCTCGGGATGGCCTTGGGGAAAGTGGGAGAAGCCCAGGCAGAAATCAGATTGCTCCCAAATTGTACAGGGAACTCCCTCATGACATTACTCACTATTGGCCTAGAAGTTGTGCACAACCCACACATTTATGGAGAACTTGCCCTGTCTATGTTTTGGGCCTGGAGACACAGTAGACTGGAAAGACTAGTCAGCACTTTTAGGTAGTGTATATTCTGTTCATTACTGCTCTCCTGATACACCTAATTGAATTTCCCATTGCTCTCCTTCCTGCCTCCTCCTAGACAGTTGCTATTTAAAATAGTTGTAAGGGATGTTGTTAGTTACTAGTGTAGATCCCATCTGTCATGCCCTCCCTAGTCCCTCAGTGAATTCTATACATTTCACTGGTTTTCTTCCTTTTCAATGTCATCTCAGAGGGTTTTTATGGTAGAAGTTTTTCAGACTTACACCACTCCTGCCCCCTACCCCATACCAGCCACTGATAGACTTGAGCAAGGGATAGGAGTGTGTCAGTCTGCTAGAGTCAGCCTCTTCCTTGTCATAGGATTCTCTGCCCAAGCTTAAGGACCTAGCATTTCTTAAGAACCAGCTGGAGCACCTGCAGCGGCGTGTGGAAGACGAAGTCAGCAGTGGTGTGGGCCAGGTAAAGCTGAATCTTTCTTCCACCCCCCTTGTAGACTTTATTGCCCAATATGCTTTTGAATGGATGGTAAAGATTTATTCACCAAGTGGCTATTGAGGGCCTGTTCTCTGTGACTTGAACTGGAATCTTAAATTGGGATAAACTGGGTGAAGAGGGAAAGCAGGAACAGCATATGCAAAGCCCTTGTGGTGGGAGGTAGCATGGTGAATGTAAAAAGTGGCAGCAGTTCCATTTGGCTGCAGTAGTATGGGAGCATGCTAGGAAGCAAGACTGGAGAAGCAGGTATGGAAACGACAGCGACAGCTTGTGTCCTGTAGCGGTAGGGTTCTGTGATTGGAGCCTTTGCACCTCAAGGTTCTGAGATTGTGTGATCAGGACTTCTAGGTTCTTTTTCTGCCTGTAGAACCTTGAAGCCATCTTTGGATAGACTGCTACAGACTACTTCCAGAATGAGGAGGTGCAAGTGGTAGGATGCTTGAGTAGTTCCTGAGTACAGAAGGGAGGAGCCTGGCTAAGTGTCCTCCTCCATTTTCCTCCACAGGATGGCTCGCTCTTGTCCTCCCCATTCCTCAAGGGCTTCCTGGCTGGCTATGTGGTAGCCAAACTGAGGGCATCAGCAGTATTGGGCTTTGTTGTGGGCACCTGCACTGGCATCTATGCAGCTCAGGCATATGCTGTTCCCAATGTGGAGAAGACCTTGAGGGACTATCTACGGTCACTGCGCAAGGGGCCCAACTAGCTCTGGATCCCATGGGGGAGGCAGGATGAGCAAAAGGGGCCTGCAGGTGGAGGCCTTTCGACCACAGATGCCGTATTTGGCTTCCTCGACTGTCACCCGTTTGCTCTCTCCAGCTTTCCTGCCACCTTCATCTTTGCTTCCCTTCCTGCAGAGAGTGGACAGTGGCTCCTCAGCCAGCACCCTAAACTCCTTCCCGCCCTAACCCCATGGGACTGGCCCTAAGACTGGCTTCTAGGGCCACTAGCTCCTTTCTGGCCCTGACTGTGGAGTTTGCAGCTGATTCTGAACCTCAGTATTCTCTCTGGCGATGTGTCATGGCTACTCCCTCCTGGGAGTGGGCTCCATAACTTGATTCTCTCCAAACGTGTCACAGTCCCTGTGGCCTGTTCCCTTGCTAACTACAAAGGCAACCCAGGGCCTGGTAGGGGCATGAGTATAGAGGAAGGGGGTATGCCAGGCCTGGGCCGTCCCAGGCAGGCCCGCTGGACCCTGATGCTACTCCTGTCCACTGCCATGTATGGTGCCCATGCCCCATTGTTGGCACTGTGCCATGTGGATGGCAGAGTGCCCTTCCGGCCCTCGTCAGCCGTGCTGCTGACTGAGCTGACCAAGCTGCTGCTATGCGCCTTCTCCCTCCTGGTAGGCTGGCAAACATGGCCCCGAGGGGCCCTTCCCTGGCGCCAGGCTGCCCCCTTCGCACTCTCAGCCCTCCTGTACGGGGCTAACAACAACCTGGTGATCTATCTTCAGCGGTACATGGACCCCAGCACCTACCAGGTGCTGAGCAATCTCAAGATCGGAAGCACAGCCCTGTTCTACTGCCTCTGTCTCCGGCACCGGCTGTCTGCACGCCAGGGCTTAGCCCTGCTGCTGCTGATGGCTGCAGGAGCCTGCTACGCCGCTGGTGGTCTCCAGGACCCTGGGCACGCCCTTCCTGGGTCCCCTTCGGCAGCTGCTGCCAGCCCCATGCCCCTGCACATCACTCCGCTCGGACTGCTGCTTCTCGTCCTATACTGTCTCATCTCAGGCTTGTCGTCCGTGTACACAGAGCTGCTCATGAAGCGGCAGCGGCTGCCCTTGGCACTTCAGAACCTCTTCCTCTACACTTTCGGTGTGCTCCTGAACCTCGGTCTGCACGCAGGTGGCGGCCCTGGCCCAGGCCTCCTGGAGGGCTTCTCAGGATGGGCAGCGCTCGTTGTGCTGAGCCAGGCACTGAATGGACTGCTCATGTCAGCCGTCATGAAGCACGGCAGTAGCATCACACGCCTCTTTGTTGTGTCCTGCTCACTGGTGGTCAACGCCGTGCTCTCGGCGGCCCTGCTGCGGCTGCAGCTCACAGCTGCCTTCTTCCTGGCCACGCTGCTCATTGGCCTGGCAGTACGTTTGTACTATGGCAGCCGTTAGGCCCTGAGCACCTCACCCTGACTCCTGACACTGAAGACTGGCCACCACCATCAGAGCCACTTCCCAGCCCTCCCCACAGCAGCCCTCTGACAAGTGCCTTGTGAGAAAAGCTGGGGAAGTGAGAGCAGCCAGTTTAGTCTCTGGGGGTGGGTGGATGAAAGAGTAGTTCTGGGAGACTTGAAAAGTAGGATTGGCTAAGGAAGCTCTTAATCTGCCCCCGCAAAAAACACCCATTCTTGCAGTCTAAGGAATTCAGGGAGCATTAATACCTAAGCCTGAGAAATGACCCCATCCCTGATGGAGGAGGCTACCTGCCTCATCTTGCATGAATACAGTCACTTCAAGTGGGGTGTTGGCAACAGTTGACTTTCCTTGCCAACTGGGGTCACCCCAGCAGACCCACTGCCCCCAGGCCTGATTCTGGGTGCTCTAGCCCAGCTGTGGTGCATGACTCCCTCATAAGGGATTCTCACCCCCACTGTCACACAGAAAAGCCCAGATGCCAGAGTATACACCCAGCAGCCAGGCTCCCTTCGCTCCAGCAGCACCTGGAGACAGTGCCCTGCTCCTTCACAGTACTGCTCGCCATACCCAGCCTCTGTTCTGGAAAACCCAAAGAGGGCTGGGGCTTGACTCATCTCAGGGAATGTTGCCCCTGGGCTCTGGCTTAAGCCTACACTCCTGACCTCTCTCTGCTCAACCCAACGGCCCTCTGGAAGCTCATTGCCCCCTCTGCAGCTCCTAGGAGGTGCCATCCTTCCCACTCTAGGCCCTGACCCGCCTGGCAGTATATCCCATCTCCCAACAGCCTAGAGGAGCTCTGCACAGAGTGGCCTGGGACCAGACAAGGGAAATGCGGATAACTCAATCAGTATGTCTAATTGCGTCAGCAATAAGGTCTTAATAAAGTGTTCCGGAGAGTAGGTGGTTCCTACGATTGACCGTGGTTGTCCTGTGTCCTCTCTCTCGCGCAGCTCCTCACAAACATAATTTCCTTCCTCTGGTGCCCCGAGTACCTTATCCCTGGAGTGACATAAACTAGGAGAAAAAAGATTCTAGCTCCTGCCAGCAGAAGCTGTGAGGGTTCTGTGAATCCAAGACAATTCTCTCATGAAGCTTTTGAAATTTCTCTGAAGCACAAAACTTATGCCCCAGGGGATTTGGAGGGAGTATTGAGAATAGAACGTGCTTGGCCTGGCAGGACAAGCTAATACTCAAAAAACTCTTTTTTTTTTTTTTTTTTTTAAAGATTTATTTATTTATTTGTTTATTCATATATACATACAAGCACTGGGTACAGTCAGAAGCGCGGGAGGGTGAGAGAATTCACCAGAGCCAGAGCGGGGAGCAGAGCAGGCAGAAGGACCGAAGTACACTGCTGAGGGGAGCAGCGGGCGGCAGGAGAGGTCTGCGCGCCATGTGGGACCCTCCTCTGGTGGCCGGGGAGCAGCCGGGGATTGAACCGGCGCTGCAGAAGCTGCTGGCAGCTTCGCAACCCAGCGCTCAACCGCTGCGCCACTGGGGAGGCCCAAAACTTTTTTTTTCTAAAGATTTATTTTTTATACAAGAACCGGGGTACAGGCCAGATGCATGGGGGTATGAGAGGCTTCACCAGAGCCAGAGCAGGGAACAGAACAGGCAGACTGACAAAATACACTGCTGAGGCGAGCAGCGGGCACGACAGGAGAGGTCTGCCACGCCATGTGGGACCCTCGCCAGCCGGGATCAAACTGGTGCTGCAGAGGCTGTGGGCAGCTTCACAGCATGGTGCTCAACCACCTGTGCCACCAGGGGAGGCCCGACTCGCAAAACTCTTAATGACTCAATGTGAAAAGTCTCCATTGCTCTGGTTCCCTCACAGACATTCTCATCTGTCATCTGCTGTTGGGACGCGGGAACATCCACCTGTGGCCTAGTACCTGGCAAACTTGTTTTAAAAAAAAAAACACCCTGACCTCTTGAAGCAGAATTTTAGGTAGCAGGACTTGAGGGTTTTCTCCTCTTTTTACTAGCTCTGTTTCAGACACATGCTGAAACTAGTAAGCAACAACTGTGAAGGACTTTGGCCAACCAGAAAGACCCTATCACTAGCTGACTTTCCTTGAGCAATTCTTAGCCTTTCCTATCTTTAATTGACTGATGTCTGAAATAAGGGCCAAATACAACCTACTACCATCCTGGTCACTTAGCAGTGGGGACACATTCTAAGAAATGCTTCTTTAAGCAATTTTTTCATTATGTGAAGGTCACAGAGGTGTGGCTGCTGCCAACATAAAACATGATGGTGACAACTATAATGTCACTAAGCAATTGGAACTTGGAGACTAATGTCAAATTTGGTCCATTGTTGACCTAAATATTTGGTGTGGTAGTAGTACAAAGGGCTAAGTGAAATAATGGACACTAAGCTTTTAGGAAGGACTGGCACGGTGAGACCTGGTTAGTGGTGGTAATAATTATCCATCATGAGTGTGAGCTTGGTCATTGTGCCTCAACTTCCTCTTCCTTCCAGGACCCTTAAGGATGAGGTGAAGAAAAACTGTCCCCAAAGGGTTCCTGATCCTTTGAACACGGATCTGGCATCACTGCCCCCTGCCTAGTCTGCAGCCTTCCAAGCTGCTGATTCTGGGCTTGGAGCTCTTGGTTCTGTGTGGCCAGGTCGATGGTCTCTTGCAGAATGCATGCCAGTAGGCCACGGTGATGATGCTCTCTGGTCATGGCCTGCTCTTCCCACAGCCCTCGCCAGGCTCGGAACACCTGTGCCCAGGGTCAGAAATAACTGTTAGCCAGTCATTCTTTGAACCAACTCAGGGCTGTCCCCCTGTTCCCACTGACCTGCAGCACATGGCGTGTCCGTGCTCGGGCAGCCTGCACATGCAGGTCATAGAGGGCCACTAGGTCCTGCTCCGCAGTGTCCCGCTCCACCTGAAGGGCCTCCAGCTGGAGTCTAAGAACTGTCTGTTCCCAGTGCTGTCTCTGCCTCTCCTTGGAGGCCTTCAATGATAATACATAATATGCTTAGTGCCACCTATGTGCCAGGCTCTGTTCTAAATAACTTCATGTGTGTTATTCTACCCAGTAAAACAACCATCTGAATAGTTGCAATTTTACAGATGTGGAAACAGTGGATCAAGAAATGACCACATGACCAATGGGCCACTAAGATGACACGTGCCTTTTCATGAGTCACAATCATCCAAGTCCAGAGGTGTGGCCCACCCCAGTCTCCTTAGCCTTCCAGGAAGCAGTCAAGTGGATAATTTACAACAACCAGACTCCATGCTGCCATTGCTTCACTTTCAAATTTGCTCATGCAGTATTGTCCTCTCAGAACATGTGTGTCCCCACAGCCCATACACACATTCTGTTTATTTTTTTAAAGATTTATTTATGGGCCTCCCCTGGTGGCGCAGCAGATGAGTGCTGGGTTGCGAGGCTGCCTGCAGCCTCTGCAGCGCCAGTTTGATCCCCGGCCACCAGCGAGGGTCCCACAAAAAATAAAAAAAAAATATTTATTTATGCATACAAGAACTAGGGTACAGGCCAGAGGTGTAGGGGGTGAGAGGATTCACCAGAGTGGGGAACAGAACAGGCATACTGATTGAAATACACTGCTGAGGGGAGCAGTGTGCTAGACAGTAGAGGTTTGCCCTGCCATGCAGGCAGCTCCCTTGCTGGCCAGGGATGGAACTCCTGCTGCAGAGGCTGTGGACAGCCTCAGTGCTGTGCTTAACCCCTTGCACCCCAGGGAGGCCCACATTCTGTTTCTTAATTTGCTCAGACAAGTTACATTTTCTGAATGCCTCTGTGATAAGTACAAACTGCCCTTGTGAAGTTCAGAATCTAGTGAATTCCTCTGGCTGATTAGTTTGTCCTTTAAGACTCAGCTGAGAGGCCTCCCTGGTGATGCAAGGGGTTGGAGCACTGCTCTGTGAGGCTATCCGCAGCCTCTGCAGCACTTTGATCCCCCTCCGGCCAGGGAGAAACCACATGGCAAAGTGGACTTCTCTGTCTTGCCCGCTGCTCCCCTCAGCAGTGTGTTTCGGTCGGTCTGCCTGTTCTGTTCCCCACTGCCTCTGGTGAATCCTCTCACCTCCCCATATCTCTGGCCTGTACCCCAGCTCTTGTATGCGTAAATAAAGAAATCTTTTTTTAAAAAATGACTCAGCTTACAGGCCTCCCTGGTGGTGCAAGGGGTTAAGACAGCCACTGCAGCATGAGTTCAATCCCCAGCCAGGGAGGTGACCCACATGGCACAGCAGACCTCTCCTATCTCGCCCGCTGCTCCCCTCAGCAGTGTATTTCAGTACATCTGCCTATTCTGCTCCTCACTGTCTCTGGTGAATCCTCTCACCCCAGCTCTTGTATGCATAAGTAAATCTTTAAAAAAAAAAAAAAAAAGGACTCAGAGGGCCTCCCTGGTGTCCTAGGGATTAAGCCTCAGCACTATCACTTCTATGACCTGAGCTCTATCCTCTGCCAGGGAGCTGACCCACATGGCGCAGCAGACCTCTCCTGTCTTGCCCACTGCTCCCCTCAGCAGTATATTTCAGTAAATGTCTGTTCTGCTCCCCAGTCTCTGTCTGGTGAATCCTTTCATCCCCTGCACCTCTAGCCTACACCCTATTTCTTTTTTTTTTTAAAAAAAGATTTATTTATTTATTTACACAAGCACTGGGTACAGTCAGAAGCACGGGAGGGTGAGAGAATTCACCAGAGCCAGAGTGGGGAACAGAACAGCCAGACTGTCGAAACACACTGCTGAGGAAAGCAGCGGATGCAGCAGGAGAGGTCTGCGCGCCATGTGGGACCCTCTCCGGTGGCTGGGGAGTGAACTGGCGCTGCAGAGGCTGTGGGCAGCTTCGCAGCCCAGCGCTCAACCGCTGCGCCACCAGGGGAGGCCCCACCCCATTTCTTCTATGCAAAAATAAAAATAATTTTTAAAAAAAGATAGCTTAGGTGCCATCTTTTCAGATCCACTTCAGCCAGGGTCAGGTGCACCTCTTCGTCCCCACAGGCCCTAGTTCCACCCATCACAGCAGTTAGCACTGAGAATTGCCTCATCTATCCCCCACAAGCCTTGAGGGCCATGAGAGAGGATGTGCTGCAGTCTGTTGCGATTGGCGCTGGACCTCAGCACAGCACCTGGCCTGACTAGAAGCTTCAGCTCCCTATTTGACGCCCCTCAACTCCTCCCCAGCAAGCAGATCTTTGACCTGGTCCTCTGTCACTTTGTCCTGTTCCAAGTGTTGCAGTTGCTCTTGGATCCAAATGTGGTGCTGTTCTCTCAGTCTCTGCCTCCGGACCTGGGCCAGGAAGAACTGCAGGGCCACATCTGGAGCCTGCTGGGCATAGATGGTGTCATTGTAGGCTCATATGTGCATTCAGCTTTGGGACACAAGGCCTAGCTTTTCCAAGAGAACCCCATTACTAGAGCTACATCAGAATCTAACTCAGCTTGGAGAGTTTGGATCCAGAACAGAAACTCATTGACCCTGGTGGAAGAAGTATTGGCTCAGCCATGGAGGCGCCTAAGAGTCACATATCCCTAATTCAACCCAGGAGGAAAATAGCTTCTTCCCACACTCCTTCTTTAGCCAACTAGTAGCCCTTTTAGTCCTTTCCTCGAAACTCCATAGATCTCCCTGGTGTTGGGGCACGGCAAGCAGGACACATATTAGCTGGGATCTCAAATTCTGTAATTCTTCACTCCCCCAATAGCACCCAGTGTTCTGGGATTCACAAGTTATTACCTCTTCCCCAGAGTCCGTGAGACGTTGCTTCTGGTAATGCTCAGTGCCCAGAGATGCTGTTCTCCCTGCCACCAAAGGAAAATGCAACTAAGCATATCAAAGGTAGAGAAGACCCCCTGCTTCACCCCAAACTCCTGACCCACCTTGGGGTTCCTGTTGGAGGCCTGGGCTGTAGCTTGCTGCCGAATCTGTCGCCTGCTGAGAAGATAGTACGAGTGAGCAGTGCACACCCTGCCAGGACAGCATCTGTTAAAACCAGGCCTTTGAAATCAGACAGATCAGGGCAGGGAGGAACAGAGGGGACGGGTAATGTGACAGTGTATTGGCATTGGAGTTTTGGTGGTGGTTGAGTAAAGCATGTGTACATGTTTAGGTATGAAACTGTACCCCCCCCAAATTATATGGGTTTGTAAATGAACAGTAAATTGATAACATTTGATTTAAAAAAATTGCAGAGAGCATAAAAAGAGATAAGCACACAAAGCACTGCGCAAGTAGGCACTGATCAATAAATGAGAGCTTATTTGCGTAATTCTTTTTTTTTTTTTTTAACTTTCATTGCCAGTTTATTGGTCTCCCATTAAGACTGGATACTTACTGAAAACAGAAATTTTATGTACACTGTGCCTTCAAGTAGGTACAAAATTTAATGAGTAATGAACAGTATTGTTATTCAAATCGCATTTGTTTATCCATAACTGAATATTAATCTCCAAATTTTATGAGTTACAAATAGCCTGATTTATATCTGCATCAGTTACTTACAGTGATCTAAAGCCCTCATATAGGGCTCAATTTAAACAAAAAAATCTTATCCAAAGGCTTTTAGTTTATGCTAAATCATTTTTAAGATTTATAGCTTTGAAGCATTTTATTAAAAAGTTGGTATTTATACATAAACTGCTAAGAACTTAAAATTCATCGTAACATTTACTTCATTTTTTTGGCTTGACCTTCTAGTAAATCTTTAGCTTCATTGATTTTGGCTGCTATATAAGGAGATCCTCCCTTGTCTGGATGATTTAAAATCATAATCCGTCAATGAGCATCTTTATTGGCAGTAGGGCTTACACCTAATATTAATGCTGCTTCCCGTTTTGTCATTTTTGGTTCAGATCCACCTCTGCAATAGCCACCACTGAAAGCAGATTTTGGTAGGCTTTGAAAAACTTGTTTTACTTGAGGCTCCATATGCTTCATGGCTTGCAAAACATAGCGGCCTGCAAATCCTGCAGCAGAAATGGTCAGTCCAGCTGCTACCATTGTACTGGCCATGGCTCCGGCTCAGCTCTCCTGCCTCCACCGAGAGCGCGGCTCATCCCAGACCAGAGGCCTCGGCCACCAGCCCCACGTCCCCGCCAGACACCTGCGCGGCGCTCCGGGAAGTCTTATTTGCCTAATTCTTAAGGCCCAGGACCTGAAAACCCTAGTTTAAGTAATTATGAGAAGGGCAGAACCAGGAGATGGAAGGACCAGCCACCTTGTGGCAAATCCTGGCAGACAGCGCCCTCTCCTGCCCAAGAGATGCCATGCAGCCAAAAGTGCTGAAAGCACTGTATAGTCTGAGGATTTGGGTGTGGCTGTACCTCTGCTGCCTTCCATGACCCAGCAACCCTGAGATAGCCACGTCCTTTCTCTGCGTGTCAGTTTGCTCACCTGAAAGGCGGAAGCAATGTTTTCTTCCCTCCTTAAAATACTTCTGTGGCTTCCCTCTCAAAACAAAGTCCAAACATCTCAATAAATTTACGAAGTCCTGTGTGACCTGGCCTCTACTTGCCTCTTCTGTCCTCCCCGACTCTCACTCAAACATTATTCTCCAACAAGCTGAGGTGCTTGCAGCCCCCAAAGAGACCAACTACTCACTGAGCTCTGAGACTTTGCCTGTCACTCTCTCCGCATCGACTGTTCACTCATCGCCCCAGTCACCTCTTTCAGAAACCAGCTTCCTCCCTGGAATCTTCTGTCCCTCTCTTGCCAAGACTAACTTAGCTGGTCCTGTAGAACCCTGTGGTGATAGGCCCTTCAGGGTGCTGATGGTGTAAACTGTAAACCCCATGAAGTCAAGGAGTTCCCAGAGCCTACCTGGCACTCTGCCCAGCACATGGTGAGCAGGCATTAAATGTTTGGGAATCAGTAAATTAATGAAAGAAGGAAGGGCCCCTCCTAGAACCCTAAAAACAAGAGAGAAAGATAGACATCAATGGGCGTATACCTGAGAGAGTGCGAGGAAAGACATACCTGTGGTTCTGGGATCCCCACGGCCTCAGCTTTGACCTCTTTGAGTGTCCAGCTTTCTAGGCGCTGGCTCCAGGCTTTTACCACCTATGAAGAGAGGGTTCAGGGTAGGCTCTGGTCATTGCTGCCCCATCACCTCCAGGCGTTGCCTTGCTCACCTTTAGTTCCCGCAGTGCCCTGCCCAGCTGGCTGAGTCCATCATCCGTCAGGGTATCCCCTAGGAGGCCTGAACGGAGGCTCTTCAGGCCATTGCGTCGGGCCCGGGCCTCTTCTACTGCATTCCACAGTGTAGGCCTCACCTGTTTCACCTGCGTCCTCCTTTCTGCCACCCCCAGCAAAGCAGCCTGGAGCAAGCTCAGGGAGTTGCCTAGTAAGGGGAGACTCAGAGTGAATCAACCCCTGCCTCTGGACTCTAAAGTACACTGCTTGTAATATTTTAATTTTTATTAATGATTCTATTCATGGACCTCCCTGGTGGCGCAGGCGGCTGAGCGCCACACTGTGAAGCTATCCGCAGCCTCTGCAGCATGGGTTCGATCCCGGCCAGTGGATGAGAATCCCACGTGGCGCGGCAGACCTCTCCTGTCTTGCCTGCTGCTCCCCTCAGCAGTGTATTTCGTCAGTCTGCCTGTTCTGCTCCCCACTCTGTCTCTGGTGAATTCTCTCACCCTCCTGAGCATCTGGCCTGTACCCTGGTTCTTGTATAAATAAATAAATCTTTTTAAAAAAAGGTTTAAAAAAACCTGCAGCTACCAGCTACCAGGTTTTATAAATACTTGATGGCACTGTGCTAAGACTTTTCCTAGATTGTCTTTTTATTCACGTAACATTCTAATTTATTCTCTCCTTCCTCCATTTTCCAGATGAGATGACTGAAGCCCAGAGAAATCAGGCAACTTCCTGGTAAGTAGCAGAGCTGCAAATGAACCCCTGTTCTTCCTGACGTAAAACCAGTGCCCTTAAACATGATGCCAAACTGGCCGTTAAACACATGACCTCCCCTCACTGCTTTATGCTTGAGGGCATGAGCTGCCCCAATTTATCTTCCTCATTCCACAGGGCTTGGCAGAGGGGAAAGTCTGGGAACCTGTTGGGCAAATAAAAGTGTTTTTGTTGATTTTGGAGAGAGAGTGCCAGACTTTTTTTTCAATTGTTCTTTTATCATGGAAACATTCAAATATGTACAAAGTATAGAAAATCCATCTATTTATGACCCAGCTTCAGCAATTATCAAGGCATAGCTATTCTTGTTTGATCTATGCCCTCTATTTGACCTCCCCTAAGCCCTAACATTGTATGTCACAGACACCTGATTTTTAATGGGGATGTAAAAATAGGCAAGTACCTTCCCTTCTCTGATCCTCCTTTTCTCTTCTATAAATTAGGCCTGTGTCTCTTTCCTCATCTGTAAATTAGATCTGTCTCATCAGATTGTGGTAGGAATCAAAGATGTAATAGTCAATGTAGAAACACTTGGTGAGATGTTGAACGTCTCTGGAGTGTGGGGGGTTACTTTTACCATTGGTCTTCCTCTCAAGACATTAGCAACCTCGCCACCCAGGGACATTTCCGAATCCTGGCCCTCCCATCTGATCTTGCTGGTCAGGTGAGAAGAGGGCACAAGCCTAAAGCAAGACCCCAGAACTTCCCAATGAATCCCATGCCCTCCCCCAGACCACCTTGAGGGTCCAGACGAAGAAGCAGGGCACTGTAGCTGTTTCCTTCCAGGAGCCATGAGACAATCCAGGGCAGAGAGCCCTCCAACTCCTCACCAGCAACCTCACGTGCCAATACCTGTAGCAGGGGGCAGTCTCTGCCAGAGGAGGGAGGAAGAAAGGAGATGCCCACTGGTGGATGGGCAAAGAGAAGGCCCAAATTGCTTTCTGATGGAAAGGTTGACTCTTCTCAGGAACTCTTGCAACTCCAGACAGATTAGCAACCCTATATTGATCTTTATTTTATTATTTTAAAAATTACACAAATAGTATATTCTCATAGTCAAGACTTGACATATCTAACAAGAAACTTGGATGCAGATTATATAAAGAGCTTTTCTACTTCAATAGTAAAAAAAAGAGAGAATGAAAAAGAAAATCCAATTTAAAAATGGTAAAGTGTAACATACACCTGAAGAGGTGTAAACCTACTCCCCTAAATCATTTACCCCCAATGTTATTGAAATAAAGAAAATTAAAAAGAAATAAAAAGCCATGCACCTAAAATGTATGTAATGTTATAAAGCAATATTGCTTCAATTTCAAAAAGTATTTCAGTTTAAAAAAGGGTAAAATTTGGGCCTTCCTGGTGGCGCAAGGGGTTAAGTCTCAGCACTATCAAACTATCAGCAACCACTGCAGCATGAGTTCTATCCCCCCACCGGGGAGCTGACTCACAAGGTGCAACAGACTTCTCCTGTTTCACCCGCGGCTCCCCTCAGCAGTGTATTTAGTCAACCTGCCTGTTTTGCACCCCACTCTGTCTCTGGTGAATCCTCTCACCCCCCACACACACCTCTGGCCTACACCCCAGTTCTTGTATGCATAAATAAATCTTTCTTTAAAAAGGGTAAATTTATATTAAAATATTTGAAGTGCTAACAGATTTTTCAAAATAAAGATGGCATAGCAAGGGGATATCAGCAAAAATGGAGAGGAGGGAACTCTGGAGTTCTCCACCCACAGATATCTGGCAAAAATGATCAGAATCAATCTTACTGGAACTCTGGGAAACAATCAGAATTTTATAGCAAACAAGTGATGCTTAACCAGGGAAAAGGCAGCTTAAATAAGGTTTGAGGGCTCTGTGGTGTTTTAACTCAGCCTAGCCCCCAACCTCCTCCCTAGCAGAGTAGTCTGTTGTTTGTTTTTGTTGGGGTGGAAGAACTGGGGTGTAGACCAGAGGTGCAGGGGTGGGAGGTGGGGGGCCCTGAGGAGTGAGAGGACTTGCCAGAGACTTAGTGGGGAGCAGAACAAGCAGATCTACTGAAATACACTGCTGAGGGGAGCAACGGGTGAGACAGGAGAGGTCTGCTGCAGCATATGTGGATCAGCTCCCTGGCCCGGGGTTGAATTCAGGCCCTCTCAGTGACAGTACTGAGCTTAACCTCTAGGCCACCAGGGAGACCCTCAGCACGGAGTGGTCTTGAAGACAACAGCCCAGATTTCTGGAGGGGCAAACCTGGTTCTGGGGGAGCAGAATGGATCTTGTCCCCAGAGAATTGTGTTTGTCTATTTTGATTATGTGAGGCTTCCCACAAAAACTGACAAAAGGAGCTCCCCTTTCATTTATTTACCTTGGAACTCTCATAGAGCAGAGCAGCTATAAAGAGGATGCCCCCCCACCAAAGCATTAGAAGAAGGAAAAACAACATTTTGAGACACACAACAGACAAATAGGAAGAGAAAATATTAAGGAGTGAGATTTGAGGGCAATAGGACTTTGAAAAGTTCCTATGTGTAGGGAACCTAGCAAGACTTTTGCATACCTGCTCAGGTTGTGCTGCATGCTGAAAAGGTCTGAGACAAACCACAAGCTTTTTACCACTGGTTGATTTTTAGACTCAGTATGAGCAGGAAGTGAGGTTAAGGCAGAGTTGTAAATAGCCAGGGTGAGCACAAAGGAGTGAGATAATATGAATTTTTTGTTCCTTTTTCTATCCCTTTCCTGTCCTTCCTCTCATTCTTTTCTTCCTTTATTTTTAGCTTATTTTTGCTTTTCTGAGCCCAAACATCTAAGAAATTCTATGTCAGCCCACTAGTTAACCGCTGAGATAACAGAATAGAGACCTCAATGACCACAGTGAATTCTCTCTTTGCAACATTATTTGGAAAAGTCACTAAGCAAATATATGGCTGTAGCTCACAACAAGCAACAATAGTAAACCCCAGAGAGGAGGGGGAATCCAGTTTCCAGGGTTACCCATAATAACATTGAAAATGTCAGAACACCAAACAAAAAGAATGAATACTTAGGAGACCTATACCACAAAGAGCAGTTTTTATTAAAAATGCTCAAATTGTCCAGTTTCTAACAAAATATTGTGAGGCATGTAAATAAACAAAAAGATATGACTCACTCACAAGAAAAGTGAATAAACAGGAACTGTCTCTGAGGAAATACAGACATTGGATTCACTGAACAAAAACTCTAACTCAGCTGTCTTCAATATGCTCAGAAATTACAATAGCTAAGCTTTGGAAACAACCCAAATGCCCAAAAACAGATGACTGGATCAAGAAGATGTTGTACATATATACCATGGAATATTACTCAGCATTCAAAAAAGATAAACACATGCAATTTGCAGCAACATGGATGGCGCTGGAAGGGATCATGCTCAGCGAAATAAGCCAAAAAGAAAAAGAAAAATACCGGATGGTCTCACTCATAGCAGGAATCTAGAAAACTTAAATAAGGGATCAGGAAAAAGAATAACTATAAGAAAGTGAAAATCAAAATCAACAAAAAACTATGAACCAGAGACACTTTTTGGGGGGTGGGGGCCGGGAGGGGAGGGATTGGGGTCAGAATGGGGCATGTGCAGTTGTATGGGGGAATATAAAAATAAAATTTATTATTTAATAATTAAATAAATAAATAAAAATGCTCAGAAAGCTGAAGGAAATGAAGAAATGCTATCCCAGTGATAGAGACTATCAATAATAGAACAGAAATTAGAAAAAGGAACCAAGTAGAAAGTCTGGAGCTGAAAAGTACAATAACTAAAATTAAAAAATCACTGCAGGGATTTAATAGAAGACTTGAGCAGACGCAGGAAAGAAACAGTGACCGGACGGACAGGTCAAATGAAATTATCCTGTCTGAAGAGCAGAAAGGAAACTGAAGGGAATGAGCCTAAGAGACTTGTGTTTCACTATCAAGTATACAAGCATTTATGTAATAGAGTTCCAGAAGAAGATGGACAGGAAAGGATAGAAAGAGTATTTAAAGCAGTAATGGTCAATGAGTCCCCAAATTTTAAGAAATACATGAATCTACACATTCAAAAAGCTGGACAAACTCCAAAGAGGATACTCTCAAAAGAGAGCCATAAAATGACATATTAGAATCAAACTGTCAAAAGCCAAAGTCAAAGATAGAATCTTGAAAACAGCAAGAGAGAAGAAATTTATTGTGCTCAAGAACTCTGCAGTAACATTAAAAAACAATTTCTCATTAGAAATTATTCAGGCAAGGGGCCTCCCCGGTGGCGCAGCGGTTGAGCGCTGGGTTGCGAAGCTGCCCGCGGCCTCTGCGGCGCCGGTTCGATCCCCGGCTGCTCCCCGGCCACCAGAGGAGGGTCCCACATGGCGCGCAGACCTCTCCTGCCGCCCGCTGCTCCCCTCAGCAGTGTACTTCGGTCCTTCTGCCTGGTCTGCTCCCCGCTCTGGCTCTGGTGAATTCTCTCACCCTCCCGCGCTTCTGACTGTACCCAGTGCATGTATAAACAAAACAAACAAACAAACCAGCAAACAAATAAATAAAGCATGCCTCTATAAAAAAAAAAAAAAAAAAAAAAAAAAGAAATTATTCAGGCAAGAAGGCATTGAGAGGACGTATTTAAAGAGGTAAGAAAAAGGGCTTCCAGTTAAGGAAAATTTGCCTCCAGAGTTTGAGCTGGAAAGTCTCCAGAATAAATGTTTAGAAAGAATCATGAGATTTTTTTGGTACGTAAAAGACTTGTGCACAAAGTGAAATGTCTGTGCTGATTCTCAAAGCAACAATAAAGTCTAATGATAGAAAAAAAAGGGGGGCCCCTCTCTGGTGGCCTAGGAATTAAGTCTCAGCACTACCCCTCAATGGCCAGAGTTCGACCCCCAGCCAGGGAGCTTACCCACATGGTGCAGCAGACCTCTCTTGACTCGCCCGCTGCTCCCCTCAGCAGTGTATTTCAGTAGATCCACCTGTTCTGCTCCCCACTCTGTCTCTGGTGAGTCCTTTTACCTCCCTGTCCCCCGCATCTCTGGCCTATACCCCAGTTCTTCTATGCAAAAATATATAAAATGTATAAATACACTAAAAATAATAATAAATAAAACAATATTCAGTAAATAAAATTTTTTTAAAGTGCTAAGAGAAAAACCTTATTGACTAAGAGTCCTATATCTGGTAAAACTATCCTAAAATAAAGGAGAAATTATAGTAATATTCCCAGTTAAACCAAAACTGAAGGAGTTCATTGCTAGTAGATCTATCTTATAAGAAACACTAAAGGAATTCTTTCAGCCTGAAGTAAAAGGACAGTAAATGTTAAATCAAAGTTATATGCAAAAACAAGGAATACCAGGAAAGGTAACTATGCATGTAAATATAAAAGCCAGCATAGGGCCTCCCTGGTGGCACAAGGGGTTAAGACTCAGCACTATGAAGCTATCTGCAGCCACTGCAGCATGAATGAGATCCCAGGCCAGGGAGGTGACCCACATGGCACAGCAGACCTCTCCTGTTTCACTCACTGCTCCCCTCAGCAGTGTATCTCAGTAGATCTGCCTGTTCTGCTCCCCACTCAGTCTCTAGTGAATCCTCTCACCCCTCACACCTCTGGCCTATACCCCAGCTCTTATATGCATAAATTAAATAAATCTTTACCAAAAAAAAAATGCCAGGATAATTGAATTTTTGGTTTGTAACTCCTCCTTTACCTATATAATTTATTTATTTTTAAAAATTTATTTTATTTATGCATACAAGAGCTGAGGTCTAGGCCAGAGGTTTGGTGGGGGGGTGAGTGGATTCACCAGAGACAGAGTGGGGAGCAGAACAGGTGGATCTACTGAAATACACTGCTGAGAGGAGCAGCGGGAGAGACAGGAGAGGTCTGCTGCGCCATGTGGGTAGCTCCTTGGCGGGATCCAACTCATGCTGCAGTGGCTGCAGGTAGCTTGATAGCACTGAGACTTTAACCCCTGCAGCACCAGGGAGGCACTTTTACCTACATAATTTAAAAGACAAATGAATAAAATAATAAATCTATGATAAATCTTTATGCACATAATGCATAAGGATATAATTTGTGACAATAATATAAGATGTAGGGGTGGATACAATAGAAGTACAATGTTTATATACTATTGAAACTAAATTGGTATTAATTCAAATTAGATTGTTAGAAGTTTAATTATTAAGGTAACCACTAAGAATAACTTTAAAATATATGAAAAAGGTAATGAGAAAAAAATAAATTGTCTTAGTTCATCTGCGGTGCTATAAATAACAATTTATTTCTCAATCTGGAGACTGGAAAGTCCACGATTAAGGCATCAGCAGATTCAGTGTCTGATGACGACTTGCTTTCTTGTTCATAGAGGACTTTTCACTCTGTCCTCACATTACAAAAGGGATGAGGAATTCTCTGAAATTCCTTTCATGAGGGCACTAATATAATGTCCTTGAGGGCTCCAACCTTATGATCTAATCACCTCCTAAAATCCCACATCCAAACACCATCACATTGGAGGTTTTGTTTTCAACATATGACTAATGGAAGGGACACAACTCAGTCTATGGCAACATTATACTCAGTCCCTAGCAACATTACCCAAAAAGTCAACTAAACAGAAAACAAGGCAATATTGGCAATATTAAAGAACACAAAAAAGATATAAACCTTACTGAAAACAAATAGCAAAATGACAGAACTGAGTCCTTCCTTATCAATAATTACCTTAAGTGTAATGAATTAAATTCTCCAATTAAAAGGCAGAGATTAAAAGAATAGATTTTAAAAATAACAATGATCCATCTATATGCTGTATGTTAGAGACTCATCTTAGATCCAAAGACACAGTATAGAGTTTGAATAGATAATCAAAGGTCTCCCAACAAAGAAACAAACAGAACCAAATGTTTCACTGGTGAATTCCTGCAAACATTTAGAGAAGTATGCCAATCTTTCCCAAACTGTTTCAAAAATTAAGAGAGAAGAAATCCTAACTCATCCTGATACCAAAACCAGATAAAGACAGCACAGGAAAGCTACCATCAATATCCCTTTTGAGTATAGATACAAAAATCCTTAACAAAATATTAGTAAACTGAATGCATCAGCCTATCAAAAAGGTTGCATATCATAACTAAGTGGGATTTATCCACATAGGAGAGCACGAGAGTCCTTTGACTCAACAAAGGGGGGCCTCCCTGGTGGCCCAAGGGGTTGAGTTTCAGCACTATGAAGCTATCCACAGCCTCTGCAGCACAAGTTGGATCCCAGGCCAGGGAGGTGACCCACATGGCGCAGCAGACCTCTCCTGTCTTCGCCCACTGCTCCCCTCAGCAGTGTATTTCAGTCAGTTTGCCTGTTCTGCTCCCCATTCTCTCTGGTGAATCCTTTCATCACCATGCCCCGTGCCTCTGGCCTGCACTCCCGTTCTTATATGCATAAATAAATAAAATAAATCTTAAAAAAATATTCAACTAAGTAGGAAAAAAGGGAAATTCCACAGCATGAGAAAAGGCATATGTATCTCAATGGACTAGAATCAAGAGTGCTGAAATAAATCCATATATAGTCAAATAGATTGTATTTGTAGTCAGCTGATATTTGACAAGGGTGCCATGACCATCTGGTGGGGAAAAAGAACAGTCTCTTAAGCAAATGATGCCACAATTGGATATTCCCAAGCAAAAGAATGAATATAAATTACATTTCAATAAAGTTGTTATTTTTAAAATTTCACACAATAAAAGAAAGAAAAGATTTTGGAATAGTCTGGAATTTATGGTACTTTCTGTTTTTAAAGAATAATTCCTACACCTCTGGGGTGTAGGCCAGAGGTGCGGGGGCGGGGAGGAGGAGTGAGAGGATTCACCAGAGACAGAGTGGGGAGCAGAACAGGCAGATTGACCCAAGTACACTGCTGAGGGGAGCAACAGGCAAGACAGGAGAGGTCTGCTGTGTCCTGTGCCATGTGGGTTAGCTCCCTGTGGAGGGCAGGAAGGCTATAGAGGTAGTAGCACTGAGACTGAACCCCTAGTCCACCAGGGAGGTCCATTTTTCTCTTTTTCTGCCTCTCAGGCATATTTGAATTTGGCAATATTTCCATGATTTTACAGATATTTCAAGTTGGTTTGAAATGATGCATTTCTATCTCCAATTCAAGTTGAATAACTTTTGAGTATTGAATAAAGGGCATAAAGCCGGGAGTAAAGATAGGGTTACTTGGGAATTTTCTAATCTTGATTTAGGACATTTACGTTTTTTCTAAGTTTTTTTTTTTTTTCCTAAAGATTTATTTTTTTGTGCATACAAGAGCAGAGATACAGGCCAGAGATGCGGGGGGTAAGAGGACTCACCAAAGGCAGAGCAGGGAATGGGCCTCCCGGTTAAGGAGCGATTGAGTGCTGGGTTGCGAAGCTGCCCGCAGCCTCTGCAGCGCCGGTTCGATCCCTGGCCGCTGGTGAGGGTCCCACATGGCGCGCAGACCTCTCCTGCCACCCGCTGCTCCCCTCAGCAGTGTACTTCGGTCCTTGTGCCTGCTCTGCTCCCTGCTCTGGCTCTGGTGAATTCTCTCACCCTCCTGTGCTTCTGACTGTGCCCAGTGCTTGTATAAATAAATAAATAAATAAATCTTTAAAAAAAAAAAAAAAGAGCAGGGAACAGAACAGGCAGACTGACTGAAAAATACACTGCTGAGGGGAGCAGCGGGCGAGACAGGAGAGGTCTGCTGCGCCATGTGGGTAATTCCCTGGCCACGGATTGAACTCATGCTGCAGAGGCTGCGGATAGCTTCATAGTGCAGTGCTTAACCCCTTGCGCCACCAGGGAGGCCTTCTTTCTAAGTTTTTAGTCTGATAGAACAGAAGAAATATAAGTAACTGAAGTGAATTTGAAGAATAAAAATAAAAAGTAATAGAAAAACGAAAAATCAGATTAAAATATTTGAAGACATTATATGTAAAAGTGCTCCCATTCCCGCCCCAACCCCATGCACTTAAAACAGTGACTGGATATATTTACGTTTAATTCATTCCACTAATTCTCTACCTGGTTGCATTGGACCATACCATCTGCCAACAAAGGATTTTAGCCCAGGCTCTGATGTGCCCTCCCTGTCAGAGGAGAGGAGAGGAGCGATGGGCCTCTACATCAATATTTTACCCCCCTCCCAACTTTCCAAGACTTACCGGGCTCCTGGGAGCTGCAGGATGCGCAAGACCCCTCGCCACATGCCCTGGGTTCCAGGCCCCTGAGGAGGCACAGGTCCGGGGCAGGACATGGTGAGAGTGAGCAGAGAAGAGCCACTGTGAAGGAGAGGGTAGGCGCAGGCCACATGCCTAGGGGACAGAGGCAGGAGCACAGGTACCCTCCTGTCCTCACCTGCCTTCACCCCCTGCAGCCTGCAAGTACAAGTCTGAGGCAGCTCTTGAGTCAGGCACCTCCACTTCATTGGCTCCTGCCACCACCCTGGAGGAAGAGGATGCTGAGCTCAGCTACCAAACATCTGGGTTCTGTCAAGATCCCTAGAACCACAGCTTGGGGAGCTCGTGAGATCCCAAGAGCCTGTAAGAATCACCTCCAAGTTCAGTATAACCCCTAAAAGCCTATCATCTTCAGGATCTTGTTTTTATTACAGTCAACTGCCCAATGAGGGAAAGAGGGTAGCTGGGATTATGCCCATTTTATAGATGGAGAAACTGAAGTTCTGCTCAGTGAGATACTTAAAACACCCAGGATGAAGATGGGTAAGTGGATGCGGTGAGAGGAAGGGGGAGGATGTGGGAGGGGAATGGCCTGAAGGGGAGAAAGGATGGAGGTTCCTGGGCACAGACCCTGACCCTATAAGCATGAGCCCAAGCTCAGAGCTTCCCTCCCCTGGGGTGGCAGTGGGGAGTAACCTCCAAGGTCTTGGTTTAGGGGTGTCAGCCCTCCCTCAGACAAACATCCCCATTGGGCCCCAGAAACTCACAAGCCCAGAGGGGTTACATCCAGCACCGACAGGTTCTCTGCTCCTGGAGAGAGCAGGTCCCGCGTCCTCCCACTGGGGCTGAGCTGGATTCACACACAATATCTGTTACACACAAGCCTCTCCTCAGCCTCTGCCTCCCAGGAGCCTCCCCTGGGGCCCTTTGGGCCAAGCAGGCACCAAAGCCAGCCACTTCTGTCTGGTAAAAGGGGATGCCGGAGAGCAGCCACATAGGGTTCCCCACAGGCCTTGGGCTCTTTCTTTAGCATCACTGTGATCCTGACTTTCCCCGCTCCTGGGTCTCACCTGCACCAGGCTAAGGGTACTAAGCACAGGATCAGAGTTACTGAGGGGCCGGGCTTCCTCAAACAGCATCTGCAGCAGCTAAAGTGGAAAAAGGGAGTCAGTGGGGATTGAGAAAGGACTGGTCTGTCTTTCAACATTTCCTGAGGGTGCTGTCTGTGGCTGGGTGACATCTGTGGCTGGGTGACGTCTGTGCCTGGTGATGTCTGTGTCTGATCACGTCTGTGCCTGGCCCTGTGCTAGGTGCTCTGAACATGGCTTCCAGGACAGAAGGAGCCCCGGCCCTCATGGTCCATGGTAAGCCAGACAAGTCAGCAGACGTTTTTGTGGGACCTGTTGTTAGCTAGGAGAGGGGCCCATGACAAGGTTCTGAGATAGCAGTTTTGATTTGGGAACATTTTGCTGGAGCCCCCGAAACAAAGCTTTTAAATTTGTTATCGTTATTGGTATTTCAAAGAACTATGAAATTTAGACCTCTCTGGATATTTGATCTATGCACACCACCTGCTCTGACCCTGACAAAACATCCCAGGGACTCTAGGAGTTCCAAGAAGGAGCACCTAGTCCAGCTAGGATGGGTAGGGGAAGGTTCTTGAAAGTCTTCTGGAAGAGGCAACAGCTGAGTCTCCAGAGACTTAGGTCTGTTGGCTCCTCTGGGATTTACCTGGGGCACAAGCCGGGGTGCCTCTCCTTCCCGACCCCGAAGCAGCAGGGCCACACTGTACCCTCGGCCCACAGAGCCCAGTGTGGACTGGACTCGTGCTAGCAGCTCCTGCTCTGCCTCCTGCAGGGAGACACAAGCATATGCCCCTGTTTGGGGTGCCCTAATCCAGCCTGCTCTGAGCAAAAGGATCAGGAGGCGCTCAACCCCCCAGCTCAACTGAGGGCTCCCATCCTCCTGCATTGCCCAGCAGACCCCCCTACCTGAGCAGCATCAAGGCCCAGGACTCTGTCAAAAGCAAGGCATTGTTCCTGTGGGCAGGGCTGGGGTCAGCGGTGTCATGTCCATCTTCCTCTGCTCCCACCCACACCTATCCCAGCTCTACCTGATTCTCCAGGGTCCCTGGCTGGAACAGGCACATGTTCTGGTCCCCCTCCAGGAGCACAGAGTGACAGGTCTCCTCAGGGCCTGAGAAAGGGGGCTTCACATCAACTCTCACAAGGGAAACAACTCCCAGGACTCCGAGTCCTGCCTGCTTCTTAACTTGAGATGGTCAAGTCTGCCTCCTTGCCAAGAGGCTCCCCAGGCTGCACGATCTCTGGAAATGAATGTATGTGGACTTCTTACCTGATCCTCTACTTTGCTCTACTTCTACCACCACAGTCAGCATGGCCTGTTGGTCGTGGGTGAGGGATGAGGGGCCTGAGCTGCCCGGATCCAAACCAGCTCCTGCGTTCACTGCCTGTCCACAGTCCATGGCTTCCATGCCTCTCAAATTCCCCTCAATAATTCATCTCCCTGATCTGAGATGCTATGGACAGGGCCTCTAAATAATTGCTCATCAAAGAAGGTGACAGTCCCCTCTTCCTGAGTGACTTAGAACACTGCATGTGATTTTTCTTCATTTCTCCTCTTATGAAAAATGTTAAATAGGGCCTCCTAGGTGGCGCAGCGGTTGAGCGCTGGGTTGCGAAGCTGCTCGCGGCCTCTGCGGCGCCGGTTCGATCCCCGGCTGCTCCCCGGCCACCGGAGGAGGGTCCCACATGGCGTGCAGACCTCCCCTGCCGCCCGCTGCTCCCCTCAGCAGTGTACTTCGGTCCTTCTGCCTGCTCTGCTCCCCGCTCTAGCTCTGGTGAATTCTCTCACCCTCCCTTCTGACTGTACCCAGTGCATGTATAAACCAAACAAACAAACAAATAGATAAATAAGACATGCCTCTAGAAAATTAAAAAAAAAAAAAATGTTAAATACATTCACAACTGTGAAGGAAAGTTATAATGAACTTCTAGGTGCCCAGCTTCAGAAATTACCAATTTGAGGCCAATCTTATGTCTTCTGTTCCCCTTCCCACCCACCCCCAATGGAATTTTTTTTTTTAAAGATTTATTTATTTATTTATTTATACAAGCACTGGGTACAGTCAGAAGCGCAGGAGGGTGAGAGAATTCACCAGAGCCAGAGCGGGGAGCAGAGCAGGCAGAGGGACCGAGGTACACTGCTGAGGGGAGCAGCAGGTGGCAGGAGAGGTCTGCGTGCCATGCGGGACCCTCCTCCAGTGGCCGGGGAGCAGCCGGGGATCGAACCGGCACTGCAGAAGCTGCTGGCAGCTTTGCAACCCAGCGCTCAACCGCTGCGGAACTGGGGAGGCCCCCCAATGGAATCTTTTAAAGCAAATCCCAGATATCTTTTATTTTTTCATCCAGAGCTATTTTAGTATATATCTATAAAAGATAACCTCGCTTTAAAATAACAAAAAAAGTTTTATTGAGATATAAATTACAGACCATATAATTTGTGCATTTACAATATACATTTCAATGTTTTTTGTATGTTTGCAGTTGTGTACAACTATTACCACAGCTAATTTTAAAATATTTTCACCACTTTATTAAGAAACTTGAACCCTCAACTGTCACCTCCCTAATCCTACACCGTCCTCCAAGCCCCAATCCTTAAGCAACCACTAATCTATTTTATATCTCTATAGATTTTCCAATTCTGAACATTACATATAAATGGAGTAATATAATATGTGATCTTTTTGTGACTGGCTTCTCTCTCCTAGAACAATATTTTCAAGGTTCACCCATGCTGTAGCATGTATCAGTAAGTACTTCACTACCTTTCATGGCTGAATAACTTTCCAGGTAGGGCTGAAATCCTGTCACCAGCTGCCCAGAATCTGACTCTTCATGTTGAGTGTGAGCTTACCCTCATGACAGCATGTAAGCATGCCCTTCATGATTTCATCTCCTGTTTTAGTCAACAAATGTTTCAATTACTCATTCCAATTCTCTGTTAAACTCTGAGGATGACATGCAGGTGATCTGCCCATTTGGTGTTGAACACTAATGGGCTATAAAGTTTGGTTCTTGGTCTGAAGAAAGGTAACCTGGAGGCCCCAATTGGTACACTAACACTTTAGTCATTCAATAGTGTCTTGGGCATTTGGCGGCTCCACCAGGCATGCCAGCCCTGCACGAGTCAGGATTCATTTACTGCCCACCCAGGGCTACTGACATTGGTTCAATATAATTGATTTTCTAGCTCTGTGTGGAGCCTTCCCCTTGGGGAATCTGCTCCTGAACCACTTGCAGTCTTTCTCTGGTTTCTTTCTCTGGTTGGCAGGCAGAACAGTTCTTGTTGGAGTGCTGAGACTAAACCCCTGCACCACCAGGGAGCCCTGCTTCCCTGTTTTATACTTGGCTTGTCTTTTTGTTGCTGAGTTGAGGAGCTCTTTATATATCCTGTATACTAGCTTATTATCAGACATACAAATTGCAAGTAGGGGCCTCCCTGGTGGCACAAGGGGTTAAGCGTCAGCACTATGAAGCAATCTGCAGCTACTGCAGCACAAATTTGATCCTGGCCAGGGAGAAACCCACATGGCACAGCAGACTTCTCCTGTCTTGCCCGCTACTCCCCTCAGCAGTGTATTCCAGTAGATCTGCCTGTTCTGCTCCCCACTGTGTCTCTGGTGAATCCTCTCACCCCCACACCTCTGGCCTACATCTCAGCTCCTATATGCATAAATAAATAAATCTTTTAAAAATATATCCATTTAAAAATAAATTGCAAGTATTTTCTCCCATTTTATAAATTGTTGTTCATCTTTTTGATAATGTCTTCAGATGCACAAATTTTTAATCTCGATAAAATCCGGTTTATTACTTTTGCTTTTGTTATCATATCTAAGAATTTTGCCAGATCAGAGTTCATGGAAATTAACTCTAGTAATGTTAACTCTAGTAATGCTTTCCTCTAGTAATGTTATTGTTTTATTGTTTTTTATTGTTTATTGTTTTATTGTTTTATTTTTTACATTTAAGAAATTGACCCATTTTGAGTTATTTTTGTACATATTCTCTGTGACAAGTGCCCAACATCATCTGTAGCTGAATATTCATATACCCCAGTTTCATTTATGAAAAGATTAGTATTTCCTTATTGAATGTTCTTGACATCCTCCTCAAAATGAACTGACCATAAAAACATGGTCTTATTTTTGGATTCCCACTTCGCATCCACTGATCTCATTGTTTGCTCTTACACCAGTCTCACACTGTCTTGATTGCTGTTGTTATACAATGTTTTGAAACCAGGAAATGTGAGTCCTCCAACTTTGCTCTTTATGTGTATAAATATACATGTATGTTTGCTTTGTCTATTCAATACCTCTGAACTTAGAAACAGCTAGTCAATTTATATTAAAAAATCAACTTAAATTCTTGTTAGAATGTCACTGAATCTATAACTCACTTAGAAGAGAACTGAAATCCTAGCAACATTAAGATCTATGTATGAATATGGATGTTTTCTATTTATATAGATCTTTTAAAAATCTTTCAGTAATATTTTATAGTTTTAGAGTGTTGTTTTTCTCTCCTTTCATTATATTTACTCATAAGTATTTTATTATTTTTGCTGATATTGTAAATGGAATTTTTTAAATTTCATTTTTGGGATGTTCATTCCAAGTGTTGATTTTTGTATATGGATTTTGCACCTTGTAACTTTACTGAACTTGAGTGGTTCTAATATATTTTCATGAATACACAGGATTTTTTATACATGTGAAATTGACTTCTGTAAATTGAGAGTTTTACTTTTTGCTTTCCAATTTTGATGCCACTTCTTTTCTATGATTCACTGTCATAACCAGAACCTCTAGTACAATGTCATATAGAAGTGGTAATCATATATACCCTTGTCCTTGTCAGCACAATTTGCTCAATCCTTGGGTCACAGTTGTCCTGCCCATCCCCAATTTTGAATGCCTGCATCCTGTCCCTAAGCTGCTATGCATTACCAGATTAAAACAAACAAACAAAATCCCACATGACTTGTGCTTGGCTCTATGACATATATTTCAAACACATTAGGCAAATCTTTTTATTTGTCCTTAGTGAAGTAAAATGTTCATCAATGTTTTCTCACTTAACCCAAGACAGTAATAAAGCCCTCAGCCTGCTCCTCTCATTCATTCAATCAATTATTTAGTAAAGGGTTTAGTAAAGGGAGCACCTACCATGTACCTGGCCCTGTCTTAGAGACTGGAGATCCAGAACCAAACAAGATTAACAGTTGTGGCTCTCATGGAACTTTCAACACAATACTAAAGAAACAGAAAATGATTTAAAAAAATAATTCAAAATTTTCTAATTGAGATCAGTGCTGTGAAGAAAATAAGTGTTGAGACCAGAATGATGAGGCAGGGGGCGCTCCACCACATGGGGTGATGATATATGAGCTGAATCCTGAATGAGAAGATGCCTATCATATGAAGATCTGTATTTAGAGCTTCAATTTCATAGAAATTGCACAAACCCCTTTTATACAATTACCCACTAGCGTCTTGGCCCAGGTACATTGCCTTCCAGTCTAGGATTATAAATTAACTGTTTTTATGCTTACATTAAGACCAACCCCTCCACTGGTGAGTTAGGTACTAGTCCTTTTACCCACTTAATGATATTCTTCCAGCAGTACTCCCTTCTTTCTCCTGAATCATCATTTCCCCTCTTTATTTTATTAATTTTAAAAGGTGTATTTATTTATGCATAAAAGAACTGGAGTCTAGGCCAGAGGTGTGGGGGGATAAGAGGATTCACCAGAGGCAGAGTGGAGAGCAACAGGTGGGTTGACTGAAATACACTGCTGAGGGAAGCAGTGGGCAAGACAGGAGAGGTCTGCTGCGCCATGTGGGTAGCTCCCTGGCCAGGGATCAAAGTCATGCCACTTGGTGATAGCTTGATAGCGCTGAGACATTAACCCCTGTGCCACCAGGGAGGCTCCATTTCCCTCTCTTTCTTGGATTATTCCTACTGCTTGCAACTATGCTTTCTCTCTCATCTTAAGAACCTCTCATGTCCAACAAGGGATTGATTTTCAAAATATACAAAGACCTCATACCACCCAACCACTCAACCAAAAAATGGGCAAGATATCTAAATTAACACATCCAAAGAAGACATCATATGGGCCACAGGCACATGAAAAAAATACTCAGCATCACTTGGTATAAGGAAAATGAAATTAAAAGCAGTATTAGTTAAGAACTCACTCGTGAGTTCTTATATCCAGAACTCACTCGAGAATGGCTTATATCCAAAAGACTGGAAATAAGTGGAAATAAGTATTGATAAGGGTGTAAAGAAAAGAACACTCATTCATTAGGTGAGAGTGTAAAATTAGTGCAGGCTCTGTGGAAAATAGTGTGGATAATCCTTAGAAAACTGGAAATGGAAATACCTTATGATCCAGCAAGCCCGCTTCTAGGTATTTATCAAAAAAATGTGAACACATTAATAGAAAAACAATTTATGGGGCCTCCCCTGGTGGCGCAGCGGTTGAGCACTGGGCTGCGAAGCTGCCCGCAGCCTCTGTAGCACCGGTTCAATCCCCGGCCGCCAGCAAGGGTCCCACATGGCATGATAGACCTCTCCCGCCTCCCGCTGCTCTCCTCAGCAGTGTACTTCGGTTCTTCTGCCTGCTCTGCTCCCCGCTCTGGCTCTGGTGAATTCTCTCACCCGGCCGTGCTTCTGACTGTATCCAGTGCTTGTATAAATAAATAAACAAATCTAAAAAAAAAAAAACAGTTTATGTACCCTTATGTTCGTAGCAGCATTATTCACAATAGCCAAGACAAGGAATCAATGTAGATAGCTATTGACAGATAGCTGGAAAAGAAATTGTGGTATATATACTCCACGGAATACTACTCAGCTATTAGGAAAGATGAAATAGTGACTTTTGAGACAATATGGATGGATCTTAATAAGATTAACTAAATGAACTAAGTCAGAAAGTGAAAGACAATTACCAGATAGTTTTGTTCAATTGCAGTCTGTCCCTGAACCAGAGATCTTGTGAGACCCAGAGGGCACATGATCTGATGTGAGGGCACTGATCTTGTGGTTCAGTGGGCACATACTGTTAATTGCTTTGGGAAGAGTCTTAGAAGCTGTGAATGGTTACTACTATATGAAACAGAGTGCTAGCTTAAAACAATTAGACCCACAGATACTGATGAGTTAATGATTGCAAGATCTGATCACAAGATCTCTGGTTCAGGGGCAGGCTGTTGAATGACATCATCTTTCCTGTTCCATGACACAGTGAAAGTCAGTGTGTGTGAGAGGAGCTTTCTACTACAGGAGAGGAGCTCTGAAATTATGAAACTCAGAGATTATATAGAACAGAGCGGCATAGCTGTGCTCCTCCCTGGAAGGTGGCAGCAGGGGAGGAGAACAAGCACATGACTCTAGGTGGTATTACCTGTGAAAGAAAGGAGCTGCCTCTTGGATAATGCACCAGAGAGGAGACATTCCCCTCAGGCATGTTTACCATTCAAACATCCTTTAGCACAGTGCCATCGATCTGCTCAGAAAGTCCCAATTGCACAGAGACCAATTGTTTCTCCAGACAACCCCAGAGAGGCAACCCCTGCCCCTTCTGCCACTGCAGTTCTTTTATTTATTTTTTTAAGATATGGTTTTAGGGAGTTAAGATAAAGAAAGTCTAAGTATAATGGATTCCCCATTCCACACTCTTCCAAGCACATAGCAGACACCCAGTAAATATCTGTTGAGTGAACAACACGGACGTCCATCGTCTGACATTTTATTTTTTTAAAAAGATTCATTTTGATTTAGATTCATTTTTATTTATTTATGAATACAAGAACCCAGAGGTGTTGGGGGTGAGATGACCCACCAGAGACAGAGTGGGGAGAGAACAGGTGGATCCACTGAAATACACTGCTGAGGGGAGCAGTGGGGTGAGACAGGAGAGGTCTGCTGCACCGTGTGGGTAGCTCCCTGGCTGGGGATCAAACTCATGCTGCAGTGGCTGGCGATAGCTTGATAGCACTGAGACTTTAACCCCTGAGCCAGGGGGGAGGCCCTCGTTAAACTTTTTTTGTTGTTGTTTTAATTTATACAAGCACTGGGTACAATCAGAAGCCGGGAGGGTGAGAGAATTCACCAGAGCCAGAGCAGGGAGCAGAGCAGGCAGACTGACGAAATACACTACTGAGGGGAGCAGTGGGTGGCAGGAGAGGTCCGCTCGCCATGTGGGACCTTCGCTGGCGGCCGGGGATCGAACTGGAGCTGCAGAGGTTGCGGGCAGCTTCGCAGCCCAGTGCTCAACCGCTGCGCCACCAGGGGAGGCCCACGTTAAACTTTTTAATAAAGGCAGGGCAAAGGGTTTGTTGGTTGAGACATCCTGTCGTGGCTCCTCAGGAGCCGGGACTCCCTGAGTCAATTCATTTTTCTTTATCCGGCCTTAGGCGAAGCCCCTCGCAACTGGAAGCAGCGCCAGAGTTCCTGACACCCCCGCGGTCAGGGCCGAACTCGCACAGGCTGATACCGCGGCAGAGTTTGATGGGTCTCCTTGGTGCATGAAGGCTTCGGGATCCAGAAAGGGATTCCCTTTCAGTATCAGGTTTTTCACCTTGGGCAGTTGGTCCTGGCGTGGCTCACTGTTCAGCAGATTGCAGCTGAGATCGAGCACGCTGAGCTGGGCTGGCAGTCCCTTGGGCACCTGCTCCAACCCGGCGAAGGAAAGGTTGAGAGCGTTCAGAGTGCTGGGCCAGACGCACCCGCGAGCGGCCGGGGCAGGGGTCCGCAGCGCGTTGTGGCTGAGGTCTAGGCTGTGGGGTCGCACGCCCGCCGCCGCTAGCGCAGCGCACACAGCGCCGGGCGTCTCCACCCCCGCGTTGCGCAGAGCTAGATCCCGGAGCGCCGGGAACTTGTGAGGACACAGGGTCTTAATTAGTCCTCGTTCCCCCAGCGCAGGATTGTCAGACAGATCTAGGTTTGTGAGGGTCGGGAAGGGGCGGAGCCGTGCGCAGGGAAAGGCCAGCGAGTGTGCTTGCGCAATGCGCAGCACCCGGAGGCCCGGCTTGAGCCACTGCTGCAGGTCCGCGAGCCAGGCAGCCCCGGTTGGCCACGACACGTTACGGAGACGGAGGGTGGAGAGCGCCGGCCCCGTGTTGTCCACAGGCAGCGGCGGCAGGGTGCCGGTTACCTCCAGGTCCTCGAGCGTCAGCTCCTTGAGGCGGGAGAACCCGAGCCCACGCAGGGCGCTGACCAGGAGCTGCCCCGGCACCCGCGCGTTGCCCACCGTGAGCCGCCGCAAGCGCAGAGCCTTCAGCACGTGGGCGTACTCCTTTGGGTCGATGTCGGCTAGTTTCAGGAATGGTTCCAGGTCGTGGCCGCCGCCGCGGACCTCCACCTCGGCGGCAGCAATACATTGGGTAGCGCTGTTCCAGTCGGGCTGAGGACCCGTGAAGTTGCAGAAGCAGCCATCATCGACGTCATTTAATTCAACTAATTCGCAGGGCTCCGGGGTGGACTCAGAGGCCCCCAGCAGCGCAGGCAGCAGCAGCAGCAGCAGGCAGAGCCCAGGCACCTGTGGAGAGCGGAGGTCAGGTCGGCCCCAGCCTTTTTTTTCCTTTTAAAATTTACTTATTTATGCATACAATAACTGATGTACAAGCAGAGGTGGGGGTGGTGGTGAGAGGATTCACCAGAGACAGAGTAGGGAACAGAACAGACTGACTGAAAGACTCTGCTGAGGGGAGCAGCCAGCGACACAGGAGAGGTCTGCTGTGCCATGTGGGTAGCTCCCTTGCTGGGGATCGAATTTGTGCTGCAGAGGCTGTGGACAGCTTCCCAGTGCTGTGCTGTGCTGTGCTGTGCTGTGCTGTGCTGTGCTGTGCTGTGCTGTGCTGTGCTTAACCCCTTGCGCCACCAGGGAAGCCCTGGCCCCAGCCTTTCTTTAGAGTTCCCCTACTAACCCCCTGAGGCCCCAAGATCAAATGCTCACCATGATGGATAGGTCCTCAGAGTCTCTGCTTCCAGGTGGACTCTGGGAAGGGTTTTGCTTCTTTTCTACACAGCAGAACTTGCTGTCTTCCAGGCTTCACACAAGTGTCTGGTCTCTTGGCAGCTTCTGAGAGTTTATGTAACCCTGCTCTTTGAACTCTGGTCACTCCCTACTTCTCTTCCCCTTTCACTACCTTTCTGGGAAATTTTGCAATGAAATCTGTTGCCTAGAGAGGGGCGGTTAACAGGAAGGCAGCTTGGGGTGTCCAGGGCCCTCTGCCCTAGGAAGTGCCCTGATGATGCATGTGCCCCAGGCTGGTCTCTGTGGATGTGAGTAAAGGAATATCCCCAGTGCCTCAGGCCAAGACCCTGCACTTCCTGCCTTTATCTCCTGGACTCAACCCTGGTAGTTTCCTTGACTTTTGCCTACTTCTTGGCAGTTACTATTAACCTACCACTACCCAAGTCCTGAAAAATCTCAGTATTTAAGTGATATTTTGTGGGAAAGATTGCAGACTTCATCTACTCTCCGAGTGCCACAATTACGTTCAAGGGAAGTTGGTCTGAAAAACAATTCCCCTTCCTTTTTTTTTTTTTTTTTTTTTAATTTTTGCTGACTTGTTTGTTGTTTAAATTTATAAAGTAAGGAACATGGAGCAGAGACACATGTGAAGAAGCTGCAATTGCTTCTCAGCCTTGGACTTGTACCAGGGACTCAGGGGGATAAGGAAGGAGACACTTGAAATGTTAGGGGGAAATGTTGTCCTGAGCTAATTCCATGCACGCTTTGTGGACTCCACCCCCACTCCAGACCAAAGCCATCAAGACATTGGGAAAGACAAATCCCATCACCACCAAAGGGAGGGTGGCTGGGACCTGAGGGTGGGGTTAAGCAGCCAGGTTTGGTATAAAAACCAGACACGTGGGCCTTGGGGGGCTCGCTCTCTCGCTCGCCTCCTGGCTTCACGGCTCCTGGCTTGCGGCCAGCTCTGAGTGCCATTTGGGATTCCAGATCGGGCGGATCGGGTAGGACGCATTTAAAACTTTGTCTCCCACTTTTCTCCCTGAGTTGTACATTTCCTCATTTCCCCTTCCCTTGTAAATAAACCTTTTATTAACCTTTCGCATGTGCCTGCAATAGAGTATTTTGATAAGTCCTTTTAAGCGCACAGATGAGGACCCACAGTCAGGCACCCTGTTTTGTACTGGGGCTGCCCAATAACACCTTCAGTGGTGTATTTCAGTGGATCTGCCTATTCTGCTCCACACTCTGTCTCTGGTGAATCTTCTCTTCTCCCCGCCCCCCTGCCGCCCAGCCTCTGGCCTGCACCCCAGTTCTTGTATGCATACATAAAAAAATAAAAAATAAACAAAACAAGATGTGAGTCAGCCTGTCTAAAGAAGAAAGGGCCAAGACACAGGCCTTATTCCCATTCACAACCTGATATATAGCAGGTGCTCAATAGTTGGCTCTCCAGGGGCTGGATGGATGCTGGGCCCCGAGAGAGGAAATGTAGGACAAAATGGTGGACTGCAGATATTTAACTAAATGTTTTGTAGAAGAGATGGAAGACTTCATTGATTGATTTCAAGGGGAAGAATTAAGTTCTAAAATCCTTCCTGTTGTTACAAGGCAGGGTTCTGGGCAGAGGTCTGCTGCACCATGTCACCTCCCCTGCTGCAGTAGTTTAGGATAGCTTCATACTGCTGACATTAAACCCCGTGGAGCCCCCATTAACATAGTTGTTAAACCAGCTATAGAAATGAAACATCCTTAGGAGCCAGCTGCTGCAGCAAATATCAAGAGGCACAGACCAGAAGTGGGGATATGGAGATTGAGGGCTATTGTAGAGAATCACTGGTCCTCGCAAATCAACTTAATCACATCCTAGAAGTAATTAATTCAACAAAAGTTATCTCCACAAGGGAATGAACCCTTCCCAAAGAGAAGACTATATTGAAAGGATTGGTGCTGTAAAGAGAAGGCGAGCCAGGCCAAGTTTCTGACAGGCAGGCACTTTCATTTGCGCTCCAGGGCAAGGTTCGCGGACCCCCACAGTGGTGGGAGAAGTGGAGCCTGCTGGGGGATAAGGGTAAGCTTTTATGGGGCAGGGTCTGGCCTTGGCAGGAGGTGCAGAATGCAGATCTGAAGTTTTTTTGAAACTGCTCATTTTCCCAGAATTGTTTATCAGACCCAGTTATACTGGCTCTAGCCGGTGGTCTCCAGGATACGGGGTAGCAGCAGTTTCGAGCTCCCCTTCTCTGCCCCATTCCTGCCTCGACCTTACATATATCAGTGCAATTTCTGCCCTGGCAAGGGGAAGCAGCCCTTCTGCCCACCTGTGACTATGTGGGTTCTTCACTTTACTGACCTCCCTTTGCAAATGGGCAGAGGCAGCGATCCTCCCAAGGCTGCCACCTGTGAGTATGCAGGCCTCTCTTTCAGCAAACCTGTCTCTTTTGGGGCCTCCCCGGTGGCTGAGCGGGTTGAGTGCAGCGCTGTGGGGCTATCCACAGCCTCTGCAGGGCCGGTTGGATTTTCTGCCGGCCAGGGAGCCACCCACATGGCATGGCAGACCTCTCCTGTCGCACCCGCTGCTCCCCTCAGCAGTGTATTTCAGTTAGTCTGCCTATTCTGCTCCCCGCTCTGTCTCTGGTGAATCCTCTCACTCCCCCCCCTCCCACGCCTCTGCCCTTTTACCCCAGCTCTTGTATAAATAAATACATCTTTAAAAAAATAAAGTAAAAAAAAAAAAAAATCTGTCTCTTTTGAGGCAGCTCTTTTCTGCCCCCTTGTGTCTATGCATGCGTCCTTTACTTTCCTCTCCCTTCTTATAATAAACTTGCCCTTTTGGATATAACTAATGCCTCTGTCTAGTGGAGAAACTCACTGTGTGCAACTGATAGGGATGCTCTGGTGAAACTTTTCCCAGAGTTAATCCAAAGACCCAGCTCTCTGAACCCAACATTTCTCCAAACTGACTTCACTATGAGGGACTCTCTTCTCTGGGAACTGTGGAAAGGGTTATGAAAGAAAATTATATGGGTCGATACACTCTCATAATAGGGGCTCTGGTCCAGTACTTCTGAGCAGGGACACTGGTATTGCAATCTTGAGGATAGTGTTAAATAAGGGAAGAGTGCTGGTTGAGAGAGGGGGTTTGCAGAGACAGGGTTTAAGCAAAGGAAGGTCTGTGCAAAACCCGATGGGGATGGGGAAGAGGAAGAGAACTAGTCTTGTTTAGGTAACCAAGAGAAGATCCCAGGAGAGAAGAATAGTTGGCACCCTTACAGTGAGAGTAGACAGGGACTGGATACGTAGGGTTTAGTGGACCATAATGCAGGTTTTGCAGGTAATGAACATGGTATTTGCTTAATCAGTGTTTCCCCAATATCTAGTAATGGCCTAATCATCATTTGGTGGAAGAATTACTTTATCCAAAATAATGCGACTCACTTTTATGCAAAGTAAATAATTATATCTCTTTCATTTTCCTCACGTGTAAAATGAGAATAATTGCCATTATAGCAAATATTCAATGAGTGAATGGATATCCAGCTTTTAGTCTGTGCTCAGCATGGGAGGCATTTTTTTGGTGAAAGGGAGACCTGTATCTTTCCAGACCTCGGGTAATTTTGAATGTTCGTGCAGAGTGTGGGGAGGCGGGTGGCAACGTCTTGTTTGTTGTGTAGAAGACATTACTAGCCTGGGATGGCCGGATCCGTGTGTATTTCCTAGAACTGGGAAGGACAGAAACCTGAACTGGCCAGGAGGCCTCGCTCCAACAACCTACCACAAGCCCCGCCCCTCTGCCCCGCCCCTCTCCTAGCCCCGCCCACCCCACCCCACCTCCGCGCGCCTACGCTCGCGTCCTGATCCGCGCCTGCGCGATTGGTCTTGTCTTTCCTGGTCCGGAGGCTGCGTTCTCCACCGCCGGCTCTCTACAAATTTCCTCCAGCTCCCCCATGTGGAGCAGACGGCAGGGCCTCCTCAGGCCCACAGGCTGCGGAGTGGAGGAACTACGGCGCCGCCGGCGAGAGCGGGAGGCAGGTGCGGGCGGGCGACGGAGTTCTAGAGAATGGGGGTATGGCGGTCGGACAGAGAGTGGGGAGGCCTCTGGGCTGGAGACCGGGGTTCTGGGTCCTAGGTGCCTCTCCCACGCTCAGCCGTCTCCTTTGCCACCAGCACTGCGGAAGGCGCGGAGGGAGCAGCAGCTGGTCAGCAAGAGGTTGCTGAGAGATGACATCTTGGAGGAAGCTGAAGGGGAATGTGTGACAGTGGTCGTCGGGGAAGCAGAGGTGAGGGGGCAGAGCGCTTCTTGAGCTTGACGCCAAGTTCCTTCCCGCCCCCAAGCCTGAACGCTGTCCCATCACCAGATTCGCCCATCCAGTGGGCGGAACCAGAAAACGGGGAGCATCCTCATGACCATACCTCAACCCCACACCAATACAATCAAGTCCTCCCTGCCCTCCCCCCGCCCCCTTTTTAGCCTCCTAAAGATCTCTGGAGTCCTTATTTGCCTCATCATAGCAGCTGCCACCACCCTTTTCAGGTACTTACAGCATCCTCTTGACAGGTCATTTGCTTGTCGCTTTCAAGTCCATTCCCCATGTTAGTCATGAGTACTTTTTTTTTTTTTTTTTTTAAAGATTTATTTTTATTTATTTATACAAGCACTGGGTACAGTCAGAAGCGCGGGAGGGTGAGAGAATTCACCAGAGCCAGAGCGGGGAGCAGAGCAGGCAGAAGGACCGAAGTACACTGCTGAGGGGAGCAGCGGGCAGCAGGAGAGGTCTGCGCGCCATGTGGGACCCTTGCCCAGTAGCCGGGGAGCAGCTGGGGATCGAACCGGCACTGCAGAGACCGCGGGCAGCTTCGCAACCCAGCGCTCAACCTCTGCGCCACCGGGGAGGCCCATGAGTACTTTTTAAAAGCACATTGGGACCAAATTCCTTCTTGTGACCTGTAAAGTCCACTATGTTCTAACCTCTCCCTACTTTCCCACTCACTCATCTCAGCCATACTGACCCCTCTTGAGTTCCTGGAGTAATATACCAGGCTCTTTCCCTTAAGTGGGTTCCTTTTAACATTTTCCCGTGACTAGAAGAGTAATCATACTGTCTAGGTGTTTATTATTATTCCCCGACTATACTTAAAATCCACAAGAACCTGGACCCTATCAATATTTGTCATCATTGGGAACCTTGATGCCTGTAGTGTCTGGCTTATAGTCAATATTTATTGAATAAGTGACTGAAATAATTGGCTTTAGCTCATTTATTAATTCAGCAAGCATTGAGCATCCCGTTTCTATCATTTATGTTTAATATATAGTTTGCAAAGCACTGACAAGCAAGTTGTTCTATTCAGTCACTATGTGCCTATTTATTTTTTTAAAAGATTTATTTATTTATGCATACAAGAGCTGGGGTGTAGGCCAGAGGTGCCGGGGTGCGGTGGGGGTGGGAGGATTCACCAGAGACAGAGTAGGGAGCAGAACTTGCGGATTGACTGAAATACACTGCTGAGGGGAGCAGCGGGCAAGTCAGGAGAGGTCTACTGCGCCATGTGGGTCACCTCCCTGGCCAGGGATTGAACTCATTCTGCAGTAGCTGCAGATAGTTTCATAGTGCTGCAGCTTAACTCCTTGCGCCACCAGGGAGGCCCCTCAATCATTATGTGCCTATTTAATGTCAAGACACCCACTGGGTGCTGAGGTACACAAAGATAGAGTCCCTTTCTTTGAAGTGCTCACAATCCCAGTGAAAGAGACAGATGTGCTACCTCTTGTCATGAAGGAACCACAAGACACAAGAGAACACCTCTAAGTCTGCCAAAGGGAGACAGAAAGGGCTAACTTCCCAGGCAGTGTGACAGCAGCAGAAATCTGAAGGGAGTGGAGGACCTTGAATGGGCATCCTAAACAGAAGAAATAGGTTGTGCAAAAGTTTAGAAGCATTGAAAAAAAAAAAAACAAGGCATATTATGTAGGGTTTGTTGGACTTAAAGTTGCATGGGGAGGACTGAAGGGGTAGGTTGTCCCAGACTGAAAGGTTTAAATATCATTCTTGAAATAACCCTGTAAGAAGGCAGGGTAGTTAGTCCCATTTTACAGGTGAGCAGCTGAGGTTCAGGTCCCTTGTAGTGTAAATGGCAGGACTAGTATTACAACCCAGCTCTGACTCCCTCTACTGCAAGGTTGGCACTTAATAGCTATTTGAGTGTGAATGACCAGTTCTAAGAATGGTGCCATATTAGAGGACTCACAGGTAAAGCCAGCAGAGTGGGACTCAGACTTGCTCTCTGGCAACTGTGTTGCCATCTCTTCCCTGCCCTGGACCCCAGATCCAGCAATTTCTGCAGCTAGCCCAGCGAGGCACTGAGGGAAAGGAGAGAGAGGGGGCTCTGGTCAGCCTTCGTCGTGGTTTGCAGCACCCTGAGACACAGAAGACCTTCATCAGGTCAGTGTGGGTGGTGTGTGTGGGTGGCTGTGGTTCTGAGCAGGCACCTGCGACAGGCCACAGACTGAACAGGACGCGGTGCTCACTTCTTTAGACTGGAGGGAAGCATGCGGACCCTGGTCGGGCTCCTGACTAGCAACCAGGCCCTGTTGCAGCTCGAGGCGGCTCGGTGCCTTCATGAGCTCTCTCACTCAGAGCAGCCTGCGGTGGCCGAGGCCTGCCTGCCGGCCACTTCCTACCTTCTCACCTACCTCTCCGGTCACAGCTCAGACTTTATAGTAAGTCCTTTCCCTTCTTACCTTGTTCTTGGCTTGGATTTAAAAATTGTTTTTTGGGTCCAGTTTGAGCTAGCAGGTTGGGGGAGGGTGGCAGCCAGTTTCCCTGATGACCACAGCCATACATACGCCCATCATGTCCCACTCCCTGTGCCCAACCTCCGGCATGGGGCTGTTCCGTCCTCCCTACCCTGGCATGGAAGGGCCATGCCCAGTGTTTTTGTTCGTCCATCCTCAGGAGCTCTGTTTGTATACACTGGGTAACCTGATTGTGGAGAGTGAGACTGTAAGGAAGCAACTCCTGCCACAGGGCATCATTCCAGCCTTGGCTGCCTGCATCCAGGTGAGTAGCCACCTGTTATCCCTGGACAACCCTTCTCATACCTGCCACCCCTGCTTTGGGTAGGTAACTCTAGCCCCTGCCTTGTGCCTGAGGGTTGAGCCTCAGAATATCTTATGACCCAGCTTCTGGCGTCAGAGCCCTACACCGTCTATTTCTAGTCCCCTCACCTGCCTGTGCTGGAAGCCCTTGGATATGCCTTGTCCCAGCTTCTGCAGGCTAAGGAAGCTCCAGAGATGATCATCCCGTAAGTGAAGTTGTGCCTCCACATGTGCAGGCAGGGGTGGCCTATTTGGGGGGTTAGCTCTTGAATGCCTCGGCAAGTCTGGTTTCAGAGCTGTTGCATTGTAACTCCATGTGTCTGGCTGCCACCTGCTGCTAGGGTTTGGGAATGACAGTGTCTTGCCTTCGTGGTTCCTACTCACAGCTCTGCTTCTGCCTGCAGCTCAGTTCTGGCCTCCACTCTCCCCCAGCACATGCTGCAGCTCTTGCAGCCTGGCCCAAAGCTGAATCCCGGGGTCGCTATGGAGTTTGCTTGGTGCCTTCACTACATCATCTGCAGGTAACTCAGGCCAGTTGGGAAAGTGCCGCAGACCTCCCCTCCTGGGGCTCTCTTCCACGACAGGGATTTGAACTTAGGCTTATAGGATTGCTGTGGTGAATTAGGATTGACTAAGTAGCGACTGCTTGCTTTCTGTTGCCCAGTCAGGTCAACAACGCCCTCCTCATCACCCAAGGGGCTCTGTCCACTCTGGGGCTGCTGCTGCTGGACTTAGCTGGGGCTGTCCAGAGAACAGAGGATGCAGGACTGGAGCTGGTAGGTGAAAAGGACAGGTCAAGATCTGGATATCCTTTTACACCTTCCTCCTTACATCTGACTTCCAACTTGTCTTTGCAGTTGGCATGTCCTGTACTCCGGTGTCTAAGCAACTTGCTAACAGAGGCAGCAGTGGAGGCTGTGGGTGGGCAGATGCAGTTTGGAGACGAGCGAGTTGTGGCAGCCTTATTTATCCTTCTGCAGTTCTTCTTCCAGACACAGCCCAGCCTGCTTCCTGAAGGCCTGTGGCTCCTTAACAACCTCACTGGTATGCCTAGACACTGGACACAGGGTTGGGTTGTGGTGGGTAGGGCTGGGAGAGGGGCACTTTCAGGACATTTGAGGGACTTCACCCTGACATTTTCCCTTTCAGCAAATAGTCCTAGTTTCTGTACCTCCCTGCTCTCCCTGGATCTGATCGAGCCCCTCTTGCAGTTGTTGCCAGTATCTAATGTGGTGAGCGTACTGGTAGGTATTGGGATCACCTGAGTGACCAAATGTGTGAACAGTGGGTCAGGCTTGACCCCTTAGATGAGCCCCTAGCTGAGAACTGGCAGGTGGAGTGAAAGGGTCCCTAAACTGTGGTTAATTACTTGGGGCAAATCATCTAATCAGTTTAAGCTTTAATTTCCACATTTATAATTGGGAATTGTAACCCTGAGGGCAGTTGTGGTTGAGGGGAACAAGCACATAAAGGTGCTCGACACAGGGCCTGGACATGTGTTTTAGCTATCATTACAATCTTTGGTTTTCATCCCTGTGGGGACTGTCTGCAGGTACTCACAGTTCTGTGCAATGTTGCAGAGAAGGGTCCTGCTTACTGCCGGCATCTGTGGCCAGGGCCCCTGCTCCCTGCCTTGCTGGGCATGCTAACCTTCTCTGACACCGAAGTAGTAGGCCAGAGTCTGGAGCTGCTGCAACTGCTGTTCCTCTATAGGCCAGAGGTGAGTGTCTGCCCCCGCCACCAACCCCCCGAAGCCCCTGATCTCACCATGGCTTCTTTCCTCAAGTCCTAACTATAGTCACGTCTCTGGGCCTGGCTAGCCTATGTGGGCTTCGGCTTAAAACCTCCATCCTTTTGTTGGGAGTGCCTCCTCTTCTAAGAAGAGGTGGGCTAACCGCTGTGGAAATTAAGTGTTAGAGCACAGGGGCCCAGGTGTTGATCCTTTTCTTTCCTGCTCAGGCTGCCCAGGACTTCTACCTACAGTCAGGGCTGCAGGCCTTGGAAAAGCGTGAGGAGGAGGCAGAGCTACAGGACCGTGTGCGTGCTCTCCGGGAGAGGGCACTTCAGGGGGGGCCTGGCTCCTCCTGACACTACCTGCACTACTCATCCACACCCTGTCCTTCCTTGCTATGGAGTCCTATGGTTTACAGCCATAACGAGGTCTCATATTCTTTGCTCCCACACCTGAACCTATCTAGGACCTCTTTCATCCAGCACTGTCCACCAGGAAGGCCAGAGGAAACTGTGGCCTACTTTTTCTTGAATCTCCCTTTTTATTTTCCTATTTTTATTTTTCTTTTACTTCAGCAGCTGATGACTTTTGATGGGAGAGAATAAAGTTTTATTTTTATAGTATGCTGCTTTGCCTCAGTGGTTACACAGTAAGGGGTAGCGGATGGAATGAGAAAAAGAACATCCTGAGACAGGCTCTTACACACAAGCTTTATAGAACAGGAGAACACATTTGTCCACACACTGTACTCAATCCAGCAGAGCCCAGGCTGTGGGGCTGTTGCTCAGTGCAAGCTTCAGGCTTTGCCACTAATCGCGTTCTCCACGGCTCTCGTTACCTGATCAGCATTGAAGTTGTTCAAAGAGACATGATTCTCTTGGCCAAAAGCTGAGGAGAGAGAAAGGTGACTTAAGTATCTACTCAGTCTTGTGGGGGCTACGAAAGTATAACAGGTCTTTACCTCTAACTTTCAGTCTTGTTAGGATTTAAAGGGTAGTAAAGTGATGTGAACAGTTAGATTTTATATGCCCAGAATTTAATCAGTGGGTCTCAAAAAAAATTACATTTAGGAAATGTAAAAAATTACATTTAGGAAGCACAAGTCCAACTAGAATTTTAGCAGATTCTGGTGACCACAGTGGGAAGGAAGGTGTTTGAGGGAAGTTTTTAGGGGCATGATAGACATTTATTAATTACGGAAAGCAATGCACTGAATGGGCCTACGATGCTGGGTGCCCATTCTATGGCTCTATGGCTCTCACACCGAAATGATCTGAGTCTATCTCCCCCGCTAGTCTACTCAATTTTCAAAGAATCTTTTTTTTTAAATACTCCAAACAATTAGTGCATGACACACTTCAGATACCCTCCGTTAGAAACAATTTGCCTTAGGTGTGATTCCCTCCCTGCCCTCACACATTCCAAGAGCAAGGTGTAGTTAAAGGTCATCATTACATTACTATCATTCACTAAGTATATTTACTACAAGTCAATTATGTATCAGATGATTATTTTCAGATTGTGGCAAATTGAAATAAGGTAATATTAAAAAAGGACTACAGGCAATGTTATATAACTGGTCAGGGAATGCCTTTTTTAGAAGTCGAGCTAGAAGATGAGGCCTGACTGACAAGGAGTCGGCCATGGAAATATAGCAGAAGAGCATTCTAGGAATATGGAAACAAATGTAATGGCTTAATTCTGTTATTGATTAGCCACATAATGTTCCGTATTCCACACGTTCTTTATTTAGCCTTCTAATCTCCACAATGAGAAAAAAGAATCCACCCCCTTATATAACTGATGAAGATTAAATGAGATTTAGGCAGGAAAGCACTCAGAACAAAGCCTACCACTAATTACTTAACACAGAGTTACCAGTTTAGGTTTTTATTATTAAAATGTTCACACTCTACCTGAATCAGCACGTCTTAATTTGGAAGGCCCAACACTGAAAGAAATTGACCACCATCTCTTTCCTTATCTGAAGGCTTCTGAATTACAAATAGCAACTCCTGGTCCATACGTAGGGCCGCGCCTGCCTCCACGCAGCTGTTGCCAGGGACACAAAACACCCCAGAAGCCTGTGAGGTAAATACTCTCACGGGGAACAAGCTCAACAGAACGGCCAGACTCCGAGTTCCAGTCTCGCTACAGGAATTTGCGTGACCTTGGGCCACTGTTTCTCGAACTCTTGTCTCCCAGCAAGGTCCCAGACCCCTAGCGTCCCGCGCTCACCGTAGCGGGCCCAGAGTTTGGGCTGCACATCTGAGCACTCGCGGATTAGAATGGGCAGGTCGGGGTTTGCCTTCTTCAGCTCCACATAGCGTTTCTCGATGAAGTCCCTGTGGGGTCAGAGAGAGCGCGGCTTTGCGGTGTGGACGAGGCCTCCACCATGGAGGTCGAGTGGATGACCCCAGGGGCGCAATCCCGCCCGCTTCATCGCGCCGCGCCTCACCTGACGCCTTGGCTGCTGGGCGAGCGCTGACACAAGTGAAGGCGGATCTCACGCAGGGCACGGACTCCCCGACTTCCCGCGGCCGCCGCCATCTTGGCTAGGCTCTAAGCCCCGCCCTCCCCCGGCCTTCCGGCCAAGCTCTCCAGTCGAAACAGTGGCGCACCCTCTAGTCTCCGCGATAGGTTGGCTGGCGTCAGGGGGCGGAGCAAAGTTTAGCCAATGGCCATAAAGCAATGGCCGGCGCCGGTCTGGGCTTCCTCCAGTGTCTCCGCAGCGGGGGTGGGGCTGCGGAAGGGTTGCAGAGCGCAAGGCACTGTGGGTTGTTTCCTGAGCTGCATTGTGGGAAGATTCCCGTTGCTGCTGTGTTGTCGTTGGGGATTCAGCCCTTCCTGGCGTCGAAAGACCGCGGACAAAATGCCGGAGCGAGATAGTAAGGCTCGGGTCATCTGCCCTTTCTTGCCCGAGGATCTATTTTGGCTTCAGAACTTGAACCCGTTGTGACTTGTGACTCTTGGAGCCTGGCGAAGCCGTGGGCCCCCGAGTAAGGCCGGGTCGCCCCACAGTCAGTCTTAAAGCCTGGTCCCTGCCCCAAGTGACGACGGGAGGTGTTCATATTTGAACCCACTCTCCCTCTGTCCTCACCTTTAATCGTGGACTGCCCGGTATGTCTTCTTCAGGAAGATGTCATCTTCAGGATATCGTTTGTTCATCCCAGTGCACAAGTTTAGGGCCCCCATGTTAGGAGGCTCCCAAAACTCCTAGTATTTTCCCACTGAAGCGCTTACTACATTGCCTTGTCACAGTCGCTGTTACGCCTTTCTTCCTCACTAGAACTGGGAGCATTTTGACAGGAAAATACATCTGTATTGTTCACTTCTCCGTCTCCCAGCTTTTGCAAACACGACCGTCATGACACAAAGAGATTAAGTTACTATCTTTTTATTAGGTGAGCCGTTCTCCAATCCTTTGGCTCCAGATGGCCACGATGTGGACGATCCTCACTCCTTCCACCAGTGAGTGTTTGGATGTGGGACCTTGGGAATGAGCTGGCAATGAGTAGAATAAGTGTGGTGGTGGTGAAAGAATTGTGTGTGTGTGTGTGTATTTTTTGTTTTGTTTTGCATAGAACTAGGGTGTAGGCCAGAGGTGGGAGGGTGTGTGTGAGAGAGCGGATTCACCAGAAAGAGAAGGGATCAGAATAGGCAGATTGACTGAAATACACTGCTGAGGGGAGGAGCAGGGGAGACAGGAGAGGTCTGCTGAGCCATATGTGGGTTAGCTCCTGGCTGGGGATTGAACTTAGGCCTCAGAAGTGATAGTGCTGAGACTTAAACCCTAGGCCACCAGCTATGCCTGGTTTTCATTATTTTCAAAGCTGTAATTGAACCTGCTTTACAGGCCTTATACATATATGCCAGTAACTCACCAGGCTAAATGTATGTGAATAGAGTTGCTGGGTCTTAGGTTATACCACTTAAATTTTGATAAATACTGCCAAATTGTCTTATAAGTTGGCTATTCTGATTTATATTCTCATCAGTAGAATGAAAGTACTCACTTCCCAAATTCTTCTTCACATTTGATTTCTCAAACTTTAATTATTAATCTCTGTTGCATTAAAGGTAGAATATTTGTTTTAATTTGTATTTCCCTGATTTTTAGTAATCATGTTTTTTACATACTCATTTCCTTCAGACATGTTCATTTCCTAATTAATATTGGTTACTTTTTAAAAAAATATTTTCTTTTTAGATCAAAACTCACCAATGAAGACTTCAGGAAACTTCTCATGACCCCAAGGGCTGCGCCTACTTCTGCACCACCCTCTAAGTCACGCCATCATGAGTAAGTTCTGGGGAGCTCCTACCTGTTAACCATCTCCTCACAGAAAATCTGCTCAACTAGGTGTCTTAGAAACTGTGTGGTTAGTTCTTTTTTTGACGCCGGTAGTTCTGGTTTTTCCTCTGGAGATTAGAGCACTGACGAAGAATGTGATGTCCTAGAATCTCCCTTTTTCTTAAAATATGTTCCATGGAAAACTTGTACTAGAGTTACTACTGTTGCTTAAATGGGCAGATTTCTGAATCCATTTCAGCTCCACAGACTCTGTCTGGGCTAGATAATTGAGGATATATAATTTTAATAGTTCCTCAGGTGGTTGTGATGCTTTTTAAAGCTTGAGAATTACTCACCTACAATTTCTGCCTGCCCAATTGAAACTGTTGCTTGTGGCAGTATTTTAGGTATTTCTTCAGTTTTCAAAGCCACTTTGGATTGTGGCAATATTTTGCTATCAGTGAATTTCTTTCTCTCCTAGGATGCCAAGAGAATATAATGAAGATGAAGACCCAGCTGCACGAAGGAGAAAAAAGAAAAGGTAAAGGATGGAGGAGTGTTGGGTTTTAAAGGGGATAGTGCTGGGAGGATAGGACAAATTATAAGGATAGAGATTGACGTTTTTCTTTATTGTCTTGAGAATCCCTGCTTTCTTAGTGGAGGAGTATGCTAGGTAGAGTGATATAATAGGGCTTTGGAGTCAACCTGTGGTGTTTTAATGATTTTCACCACTTGTTGGCTGTATAACCGTGGGCATTTTATCAGGTTGTCGTGATAGTCACTGTGATAGTACATGTAAATGCTTAGCATGGCCAGGCACATAGTAACATTTCAATTATCATCATTTCAGTTATCATCACCATCATCCTTCATGTGACACTAAACTTTCAAGACCTGGAACTTTGCTTTTCTTCTTTTCTGGGCGTGGTAGACCAGATGGAATGATATGTTTTCAGAAGATGCTAAAAATTCAGATGACTTCTTGGTTGCTATATGGAGAAGTCCCATGCCCAGAGACTCAGTAATGTAGAGTTGGGTGGCATTAAAGTGTTCTGAAGTGACACATAGAATCTTCCAAAATGGCACTGGAACAGTGTGTCTGTGAGTTGGAAGATGCTGAAGCTTTGATAACAAATATCAAGAAGTAACCTATAGATCAGCTAGGGCATATATGAGCTTTCACCATAGAGAGAAGGATGAAGGGATAGAGAAACAAGCAGGAACAGCTATGACCTTGGGATAGCAACTGGTGAGCCTTACGCGTTTGCTTTTGTCTGGTCACAGTTATTATGCCAAGCTTCGACAACAAGAAATTGAGAGAGAGAGAGAACTAGCAGAGAAGTACCGGGACCGTGCCAAGGAACGGAGAGATGGTGTGAACAAAGATTACGAGGAAACTGAACTGATCAGCACCACAGCTAATTACAGGGCTGTAGGCCCCACTGCTGAGGCGTGAGTACCAGTGGAGCCAGGACATGGCCCTTGCAGCATCCAAGAGTTATGTTGTCACAATACAAATGCTTTTTCAGACTTCTCCTTGCTCTGGAGTTCATTTCAAGAGGCACTTGCCACCCACAAAGCATTGTTCTAATGTGACTTCTTTCACTATACAGGGACAAATCAGCTGCAGAAAAGAGAAGACAATTGATCCAGGAGTCCAAATTCTTGGGTGGTGACATGGAACATACCCATTTGGTGAAAGGCTTGGATTTTGCTCTGCTTCAAAAGGTGAGTCTGTGTTGGTAACTAAAGAATGGTACTAGAATGCTGAATGCTCATGTAGGAGCTTTGAGCAGTGAGGTGTGAGACCGCTTTTAGTTTAGGCCATCTGAAAGGGCCAACAGTGGCCCTTCTATAGGACTGATTGCTATTCATGAAAGGATGAATAGCAATTTTCTTGGGAAGACCCTCCCTGATTACCTTCCCTGATTACCAGGTATGGCTAAGTCCCCCCACTCCTCACCTTCCACTTCCTGCCCCCTTGCAAAGCTCTTCTGTTTTACTTACAGCAGTTATTGCACTTAGGTGTTCGTTTAATTTGTTTCTCCTACTGTAAGCTGCATTAGGGAAAGGAATGTGTTGTCTGTTTAGCATTGTATTCTTACTAAATGGCACAGTGTGGAACACTGTGGCACAGTAAATATATGAACAATGAAAAAAAGATGAATAAATACCTAAACACTAGCTTTCTTATTAGGTACGAGCTGAGATTGCCAGCAAGGAGAAAGAGGAGGAAGAATTGATGGAAAAGCCCCAGAAAGAAACCAAGTAAGTAAAGGTCAGGGACAGCTGGAGAATTAGGGAACTCTCCACGGAGAGTTTAGGAGGTGATGCCTAAAGTAGGAAATATTGAGCAAAAAAAAATTTTGTCTTTACAGGAAAGATGAGGATCCTGAGAATAAAATTGAATTTAAGACCCGTTTGGGTGAGTACAGCTACTACATATTGACTGCATTCCAGGTAAAGTATAGAGAATTTAATGCTTTGGGTGTGATTTGCTTTTTTTTCCCCCTCAACCGCCTTTCCTCTCTTTTGTTCTCAAGCCAGCTGCTTCCTATAAAACACCAATACAACTCAAAATATGGATTTAGTTATTTTGTATACATTATTAATATCTCCTCAGTTAAGTTGGAAGCATTTTCAGATAGGGGTTTATGCATTAAGGTGACATGGTTAGTAACATGGTTAGTGATTCAAAATCCATAATTTTCAGTCAGAGAGACCTCGGTTTGAATCCTGCTGGTGAAACCATATTGGGTCTGTTACGTTAGGCAACCGAATTTGCCTCTTAGCGCCTGTTTGTCTATCTGCAAAAATGTAGTTGAAGTTTACCTCTTGGGTTATTGGGTCAAAGAGAAATAATGTTTGTGGGCCTCCCCAGTGGCACAGTGCGTTGAGCGCAGTGCTATGAAGCTGTCCGCAGCCTCTGCGATGCGGGTTTGATTCCCGGCCAGCCAGGGAAATACCATATGGTGCGGCAGACCTCTTCTGTCTTACCCACTGCTCCCTTCAGCAGTGCTTTCGGTCCATCTGCCTGTTTTGCTCCCTACTCTGTCTCTGGTGAATCCTCTCACCCTCTCACGCCTTTGGCCTGTTCCCCAGCTCCTGTATAAATAAATAAATAAATCTTAAAAAAAAGAGAGAAATAATGTTTGTAATGTGTCTATCTTACTGAACATGTAATAGAGTTGTTTTTTCCCATCATTGATATTACTTTAAAACTTAATCTGTTTCTTGGGCCTCCCCAGTGGCGCAGCAGGTTGAGCACAGCACTGTGAAGCTGTCTGCAGCCTCTGAAGCG